TCTTTTCTTGTAAGAAAGAAAAAAAGCCCCTTTACTATAGGCAAAACAGAGGGTGGCTCTTGCAGTGTGCTGTTAAAGGGACTTCCTTCTAAACCATGGAATCACCACAGGTAATTACCACAGTTAATTGGAAGCCATATTTGCAGTGGGACAGAGATACCCTATTTTGCCCTTTTCCCCTTCATCTGCCTCAATGCTATCATTGTTTGCTGCTGCGGTGCCCATGGCAACAGCTCCACATCATGGAGCCTCTGAGGGCTGCGTCGGCCCCGATCTCACAGCCAGGGACAGGGCCCAGCCTAGGCGAGAAGCAAAGTGGGATCCATGTCCCGTGCCCAGGTCCCTGAATGCCACAGGTGAAGTCAGTGCTTTGACTCCATGGAGCACAAACACCCATGGGACCACTGGATGAGGACCTCGAGGCCCACAGGGGCTGCTGTCAGACTGGTTGTAGCCCAGCCCAGCAAGCTGGCAACCCCTGGCTTAAAATGCAAGCCATGGAACAAACAAAATCCACTAATAAAATTGATAGTCACGACTCCTGCACTGTGCAGTGCCCTGCCAAGGGCTGAGTTCCTCAGTGCCTGAGGAGTAGGCAGAGAGCCCAGTAGGATGGGCTGGGGCCTGGCGTGGAGGCACAGCTCAGCAGTGTCTTCATGTCTTCAGCTTCTGCCAAGATGGCTGCGCTAGGCCGGTTCTGCCAGGTGTGTCAGTGGGAATCTCTACACAAACAATTCCAGATTTGCTTGGTGGGCTGAGGTTTTTTTTTTGACAGAGCAGTTAACAGGCACAGCACAGCAAAGGGCTCCGTGTGTGCGTGTGTGCATGTGCAAGCAGCCTCTGTCTGTGCGTGCACATATTTACATAGATGCATGTAGATACTGTTTATTCTCATGCTACTAGTATTTTCTCAGGACCATGAATTTCCAAGCTTGTATTGGTGGTTGGTAGGAGAAAAAAAGTAGCAGTTTCATGCCTTATCACCTGCAGCTGGTTGCAGCCCTTTATCTAGATGTTCTCTGCTGGGTGCAGTGGGGAATGATACTGGCAATGGCCATTAATCTTCTGTGCAAAAGAAGTACCTCCTCTATCAGTGTTAAAATAAAACCATTTGTCTGGTGAATGAAGCACAACTAAAAATTATCCTCCTGCAGAAGTAAAAACCCTCTCATAATGATATTTTTGATTGTGTATTAGCACTGCCATGGATCATCAGTAGGAGCATCTCTATGTAGTGCAAGCTTAGCTGTGAATCTTTAGATATCAAACAGCTATGATTTTATTGTGGAATGTACTGCTGCTATTCTAACCTCACACTTCATGTCCTAACAATGCCAGTGTATAAGCATGTACCTCTGCAAAGCTCTCTACATCTGCAGCACTTGACTGCTATTCCCATAAAATGTTTGTGGTCTCACTGTGCATCCCTGGAGGTGCTCAAAGCCAGGTTGGATGGGGCCCTGGGCAGCCTGTGGGGTGCAGCCCTGCCCACAGCAGGGGTTGGGGTGGGTGGGTTTGGAGGTTCCTTCCAACCCAAACCATTCCGTGGTTCTATGACTCTAGGACTCCTGTCCCTAGTGCCCAGCCTGGTACTGGACAAGGAGCTTTGTTACTACAGTGCTCCCCAGCTGGTCACAACATTTCAAGGCTCTGCTGCTCCTCAGCTTCCAAGAGAAAAGAGCTCTTGTCCTGTTAGTGTGGGAGCAAGAAACTCTGTCCTCCCAAGTATGCAAAGGAAGGCTGAGGAGTGGCCTGTAGTGGCTGGCAGGAGTTGGCATGGTGACAGCAATACTGCGGCAGAAGGGCATGCAGAAAATGAGCAGGTTTGTGCTAGGGGCCAAACACTCTTCTCGTTTCATAGAGATTTAATTGACTCATTTAGCACTTTATGTTGCTGGTTTTGATTCAAGTACAGGATGTGGAAGGAAACAGATACAGAAACGCTGAAGGAATTAACATAATTTTCTGATTATTTTCCTTTGACAGAGAGAAGGAAGAACATTACATAGTGGATTGCTTAAGCCATTATGTGGGGAGGATTTCTTGGACACAGCTTGCAAAAGGCATGTGCAGGCAAGTAAATAAATGGTGTATCCATTGTAATGCTCAATCGATGAAAAGAAGTCCTTAACCTGTCATGCTGTTACCCATGCCTGACACACGGGAGCCTTGGTTTGGCAAGAAGTAAGGATTTAGGCAATAGGCTGAAACAGCACTGTGGTGTATTTGTGAAGCCTCATGGTTCACTTTTACAGCTCTGTGATTTCCTTACATCTCATCCCTCCCTTAGCCACAACCACTTTTCAGCCAGATTTTCAGAACTAAGTATGTACTGAAGGCTGGCAAGTATCAGTTTACAGGGATTGCTGCACCAGTCTCAGCTGATCTGGACACCCCCACCTGTCTCACAGTTATGGCTCTTCCTAATGAGCTGATCTAGCTTGCTCTGAGCTGAAACAAGCTCCCAGAGAAATGTGAGTGTTCTGTGCCAGGGAGGGAGATCTCATGGGGATTCAGCGTGCCAGCTGACAGCTGGGAAGTGAATTACTACCACTGCTCCTGACTGTGGTACATAGAGGGCACAAGAAATGGTGGCCTCAGTGGGGATGGCTGAGGGACCCCACCTCCTCCATACCCCGGGGGCTGCTTCTCCTTGCCCAGGTGTCCCGTCAGACTGCTTGACCTGGCTGGCATGGCCTCCACCTCTCTTCTTGCCATCTAAAAGATAAGGGAATGACAACAAAGTTTGTTGGTGAATGGCCTCTTATTAACCACTGTAAAGAACGATCATCATATTTGCTACTCAGAGAGCAAAGGAAACACATTGGACAGTTAACTTAAAATGAGCATCTTTAGCCTAAAAATACCTAAGGAGAATGATGATAAGAAGCATTCAGAAATGCCAGGTTTTATTACTGGGATGCTGGGATTTACAGATAACGGGGTTGTGGGAGTGGGGAGTTCAATGCAGATGGCAGGCAGGCTGCACGCACTGCACTGCCTTGAAGAGCCGCAGCACTGACAGCAGCAGCCACTCCGTTAGCCCATTCCAGCCTCTGCACATGGCCAGGCCTGTTGCAGCTGGCCACGTTCTGTCTGCAGCAGTGGGGCCTGCACGTGCCTGCAGCAGCCGTGGCTCAGCAAGGGTGCATTGATGCAGGCCCATGTGGCTCTGCTTTCCCTGCTTCTGCTGCTGAGGCAGAGTGCCACTTCTTTCTCACTCACGCCCTGTTGTCACTTTCCAGTTCATTTAGATATTTAGTAAGACAAACCTTACCCATTAGGCTCATGGGCGAGCTTACAACCCTCTGGCACCTCCTCATGTGCAACCAACCTCAGAACGACTGGCAGGGAGAAAACCACCTCCCCCCCCCTTTCCTTAACTGCATTAAGCAGGAGATGCCTCATCACTGAGGAGACGCTTTGTCACTGAGGGCTTCTGTGTGCTGTGGATTGCATGACATTCAGAGGAGGCTCCGGTGCAGCACGGCACTCCCCAGTTCATGTGTGTGTAGGAGTGGATCCAGAGTTAACTCAGATCTGAGAGAGCTGTGGGATGCATATTTATTTCCTCAGATTAATGACATGAGGGAATTCCTACCTCCTCCTTTGCAGTTTTATTAAAAACATGCACAAAGATATGTGCTTTTTTTTGGCTTTTTGCTTTTGACTGTATTACTTCTGAAAGGGAGAGCTCAAAGACACACTCACGGTACAACTGAGAGGAGTCCAAATAATAAAACCTATGTGTATTTCTTAGATATGAGACAGGACATACATGATCAGCCTCTCTGATGGGAACTCCCAAAGCCCTGCGAAAGAGGAGTTGGTACATGTCAGACAAATGACCAAACCTCAGCTTTGCTTCTGCTTCACAGTACCAAACTGTCGATGTATTGGACAAAATTTCATCCCCCCCTCTGAAGCAGAACGTGCTGCTCCCCTACAACAGCTTGCGTGCTTCACGTGGCCCAAAATACTAACAGGGAGAAAAACGAAAGCCAGAAGAGCCTCTTGCCCTCTGCCAAGCAAACCTCAAGTGCTGCCCACAGCACAGAGATGGCGGTCAGAAGGGGATTTGGGAGCTGGCAGCACAGTGGTGGCACCACTGCAGAGGGGAGGCACCAGCTGGGCACTGAACCTCAACAGAAACATCAGACCTTTTATAACATAATTGCGTGCTTTATTGATATACACAGTAAAGCAGTATATAGTACAATAGTAAGGCATATATTTGGTGAAATCTGATATGTTGTGAAAAATGCAGTAAAACAGAAGTTTATAAAAATAATTAGTAAATGTTACAGTGTTGGTGTTAAAACACAATATATTATGATATCCAAGTAATAAACCAGTACTGAGTAACAATGAAATAACATGCCATATGGTATTTATGTATTCAATTACACTGATTATGTTTTACAGTTTAATACTTTGTCGTTATAAGGAATATGAAACAATTCCCAAATTATGCTTCAAAAAGCAGTGATAAAGCTTTCAACTTTTTAAATATTTTTGACAGACTCACTCCAAAACTAAGACCTAGAAAGTAAAACAAACAAAACAAAACCCTGATGAAAAAAACCGTGCAATCCATTTTCCTCCTTTTGTTTTCTGAAGAGAAGGTTTAAGGGTGGGCATAAGGGGGAAAAAAACGAGAAGAAACCCATCTCTTTCCCAGATCTCAGACCAAACCTTCTGGTAAAGAAGACCACGAGAATTACATGGGGTTCCTACCGCAGTAAAGTGTTAAATAAAGCTCTTTATTATGAAAGCAGAGGTTTGGGGGGATTGTACTTAATTCTTTGTGAATTATTGGCATTCTTACTTAAATGATGAGACCCGTTCACACAATGGACGAGTGGTGATGATGTAACATATCTGTACGTAATTGTCAGGAACACCACAAAACCAAAGTGAGGTAGAAATAGCATGACTAGCCATGTTCAATGTTAACTAGCATTCAAAATAAAATCTTTCCCAAATTTAATTACACTTCATACAAGAAGAGGTAACAGATTTGTACTTTGCAATATAAAGTCAGACGGTGTGTTTCTATGTATCTAAGAGAAAATTAAAAGCTGGTTAAGATAATGAAGTGGTAAAGCTTTTGCTGACAGCACCTCATACCCAAACCTACCTCTCAAGAGCTGCAGTTATGCTGGCTAATCTGTTTTTCTATCAGTTCCTCTCTTTCTCACTTTATTGTTAATTGTGCGGTGTTACTTGTAGAGAGAAACGGGGAAGGAGAAAGCATCAGGGCCTTTGTTTTGAAGATAAATATCTCGGGGAGCAGTGTGGCTACCTTCACCTGATCACCATACACATACAAGAACAGCAGTAATTCTACAGCCTTCCTCAAAGGTTGCTTGCTGCATTACAGCTCCTTGGGACCAGCTGCTCTAGCAGGCTGAGACAGACATTGTGGAAAGGTGTGGTTTTATTTTCCAGAGGATCAAGTAGCTCTACGTTCGTTAACAGTGTTGGAAGCCATACAAGCAAAGGTGCTCTGTGAGTAACCCACTTGTGCTTCATGTCAGAAGCTGATCCCACGTGGGGTCAGGAGGGAACTTCTCCCTTTCTTCTCTCGTGTGCAGCAAGGTGATGCTAACAGTGGCAGCGGGCAGGGAAAGCCACACGCAGCTCCTGCCAAAGCTCTGGGCGCTGGCTGCAGCCAGCAGAGTACCGGACAGTAAGGTCCAAAGGTTTCATCCGGTAAGGCAATTCTACGTTCCTTCACTAAGGACATTCAGGGATTTAGTCAGCAGAGGAAATGCTGGCGTATTGGACATCATTAAACTCTTTCCTTCTTTCTTCTTTTTTTCTTCTCATTAATTTTTTGCAGGCTCTGTCATGTCATGTGCTCTTTCATTTAATTATTGCCAACTAGTGTGATTCATGAAGTTATTAATTTTATTGGAAAGAAGTGAAATAACTATCTATCTTCACTGGAAGTCCAGGAGGTTTTTTTTAAAGCCAGCCCTACTCAGACAAAACCAATGACAAATGTTAAGTTGGCCGTTTTGGTGTCGCTGCAGGAAATGCTTTTTTCTTTCTCTCCTCTTTGACAGGCCAGGAAAAGAACACAGAACATGAATCTCTCTCTGATGCAGCTGCAGAGCTGAAATGATACTGAACAAATGCACTGCCTCAGTATTTTTTTTTTTGTATTTTTTTTAAAGGGGGTTTCTATAAACAATTATTTTTATAAAGCACACTTTAGTTTACAATCTTTCTTTATAACTGTTATAAATTTTTTTTTAAACAACCCGAAATGCGTTCCATATAAAGAAATGGCAAGTTATTCAGCTATCAAGATTTTACATGTAGTTTTCTTATAATTTTTGTACAATTGCATAGACGTGTAAAACCTGCCATTGTTAACAAAACAGAAACAGACTTAGGAAACTACTGAAATCTACAGTATAGTACCACTACCCTTCACAAAAATATAGATTTGTTTTCTTGTAAACTCTTACAGTCTAATCCTCTTTGTAGTATGAATATTATAAAAACCATGCGGGACGCCTGAAGTTGTAAAACACATCTTGCTATTCTAACACCTTGTCGTCAGTCATCACTGTCACTAAGGTTTCCATCGCTCTTCCCAAGTCATCTGCCATGTGGAACAGGCTCCCTACATTGTGGCCTAGAAAAGAAAGGCAAAGAAGAGGACATTAAAATGAGACAGGAACATCTCGTGGAAAAGGCCAAGTACAAGATGTGTCACTCTCCAGGAACGGCTCACCGGCATCCCCAGCGCAGTACGCTACAGAGTACTGTTTCCAAAAGTCTCCTGTATGAGCATATGTCATCATAAGCAAAAGCTGCCAATTTCCTGAAACACTTAACAGCAGCTCTGGCTGGAACAGCTAGTGTAAGCTACATTGACAATAAGCCAGCGTGTCTGCGTTCCAACAAAAATCCCCAGTAGTGAGGAAACCGCATCGTAACAAACGTTCACCAAAAGCCGTCATTACATCCAACAATATCACCGAAATCCTTCCAACTGGTGGCGCAAGTGTTTGAGCGTTCAAAGTTCTATCGAGGAGAAAAATAGAAAACAGATCAGCAGTAATTAACTACTTCATTAAAGGCAAGGAGTCCCAGCAGGATGGCTGCACTGATAGCTGGAACAAAGTAAATGGCTGCGGTTTACTCAGTCTCTTCAGTAATAGTTCCTGTAATGTCCTCTGCCTTTCAGACAGCAGTCCAGCAGTACTAAGACGCCCAGTTATCAAGTAACTACATACAGGCCTCCCACACAGAAGTGACAAATAAATGCAGACTGCAGGTTCTGAAGACAGAATCTATAACTTCTTCTCACGCTCATTTCACCAAGGGAAAGTTAAAGGTCACAGTGCTGACCAGCAGTAACAAATTGCTTCAACAAAATTAGAGACTAAACAGATGTGAAGGTAGGGGGATTAAAATGCCAACTGTTGTCAGATTAGACACCTTGCACTCCCTGCTGGTCTCTGGCAACTGTTCAGGAAATGTTGGGTCTTCTCTAAGCCCTGTGGCAGTTCTGCAGCCCCCTACCACTGTCTGAAACACCCTTGAAACATCTCAAATGACAGAGATCGTGGTTCAAGCAACTGAAGCCCACCTGGAGCCTCCTTCCTGAAAGTGTATGACTGAAGAGGGAATATGGCAGAGATCTAGACAGCCTAAAGGATAAGCATCCAATTCAAGATTCCTTGCAAGGACATGGAGGAGCAAGCAGACAAGTCTTAAAAGCAGCAGAAGGAAATTATATTCCACACAGTACATAATTACATTATTGAACTCATCGCCACAGGCTGACGTAGAGGCCAAACATATAAATGAATTAAAAAAGGAGTCAGAAAATAATGACAGAAGAAAGATTTATTTAGATGTGAAGAAGTGCACATGAACTCCAACTCTTGAAGGCCCCAAGCAGCGGAATGCCAGGAAATGAAAGAATTTAACAGGGGAAGCATTACTCAATAAAACTCCATGTTGCTATGGCCTGCAGGGTTTGATTTACTCCCCGAGAGTACTTGCAGTAGAGTATTTCCTTGGGAGAGCACTGAAGGTGCAACACTGTCTGCCCACGTCTCTGCTTCCCAGGAATGCTTTGTGTCAACCTGTATGCTGAGCCCTCACCATAGTCCAAAAAGAAGGAGCACCTGAATGAAGTCAGGACATGACCAGAACATCCAAGATGCATCTTTCACACAACTCACTACCTGTGCCCTGAAGAAGCCTGACTAAGCCAGGCTTAAGCCATTTAATACTGTCCACCTACAGGGCTCTTGCCCCTCCTGACATAGCTGTTGTCTCTAACAACAAGAGCAACCCTTTCCTGTGGGACAAATCACGCTCACCAACACAAGCTGGAAGAAAAGTCCATTCTCTTCCAAATGTTCAAATACTGTGATAATCATGCACTGCCAGCATTTCTACAGCGCACAGAAGCTTGGGGTGACATTACTTAATATTCACCAGCATACAGAATGGAAAAAGGATGACCTAAGAAATGTCCAGGGAAGTTTCTTTCTTCTGGAGAGCTACTACCACTTTTTACCTTCACATACATACATTTGAACTGGTTCTTTGGAATGTAGCATTCCTTATACAAAATTATCCCACATCTAAGCAATAAATGCTCACCAAGCTTTCCACTTCAGAGTGAGCACATGACACAGTGCCCAATATTGAGACAAAGAAATACTTGGCTCTAATGCAATGGTATCTTCTTTCTCACACTCATATACAGAAAAAAGAGATGCGTCACACAGTAATTTCTTATAAAAAACATTAATGTACAGTCTTAATCCTATGCAAGAACTTGTCATTCGCTCATAAGCATGTCAAGAAACAGCATATGAAAACTTCCTGCCAAGTTTTGGTCAAAAGATACCTTAGATTAAGGGATAATATTTCTTACACCAGGCAGGCTGTAATTAAATGCTAGCACGAACTTTAAGAAGCAATTGTAGTAATGGCCCTCAATCTTCATTTACCCCTCCCTATTACAGTGCAATCCCTCTGGCTGAGATCAATCCAGGAAAAAGAAAAATTGACGAAGTCATAGGAAAGCAATAATTTTGGACTGGAGATCCTCTGGTAAACTGAAACACAGCTGTCACTGGCCTGCTCTACTTATACGAAGCTCTGATATGCTTAGGTAGCAAATGGCACCAGAATAACCCTGGTATAAACTGACTGTTCTGCAGCATGCCTACAAACATACTGACTCTGGAGGATGAAAGTCCTTTTTGTGTCAAGCAACCTCTAGCTTTAAATAACATTCTTCCTTGCCTGCAGCACACTACAGACACAGGGCAGGAGGGTGCTGGAGGCCTCTGTTATTAGGTAACTTGCAGAGGGAGCAGACATTACTTGAGGGATCACTCATTCAGATTCACAGTGATGACTGATTCTAGAATCAATACCAGACTTTTCTGGGACTCCAAGGCCACTCATTCCAATTTCATTCTCATTTCAAGAAAGAGTTATCACCCAAACTGCAATCAAACTGCAAAAACCCATCTTCAGAAAAATTCAGTACTAGTTACTACTATTTTCTTCTGTCAGACACAGAGCAGTAAAGGTAACAAAAACAAGCTGATTTTATAGGAAAAGACTAGGTCTAGAGAGAATAACTTAAATCAGAAGAAAATATAAGCAAGTCTTTTAAAAGTCTGCCACAGCAGGTACAAATTGCTAAATTGTTCAGGCAACTGAAACACAGGCCAAGATGGATGCAGAGATCTCTAGCTATTCTTCAAAGCATAAAAATTATGGGCATGTATGCTAGTGCTTTTTTCTTTTCTCTGTTAATTGCTGCCATATTTTTGAGATAACCACGCTTCGAATCTGTTCTCCCTCCACAAAAGCTGTGCAGCGTTATGCTGGGGTGATTAAGCAGATACGAGTTCCTGTCCCTGTTCTGCCTGTACCACGGGTCATAACTTCCTCTGCAGAAGAGCGGAACAACCGTGCATCTCCTCCTGAGCCATCTGAGTTTACAGTTCAGAGCATAACCACTATAAACCACTGCTGACTGCAGTTTATGTTAACAGCTGGACTGTAAAGTCCATCAGCCTTGGCACTGTGGTCCCAGGACAGCATGGGAAGGTAGGATGAGCCAGAAGAGCACACAGTTTGGCTGTGCCCCAGCCAACCCTTAGCTGGACATCACTGCCCTGCCAGCAGCTTGGATGTACATGAAAACAGCAGAGCTCTGGGTGATGGTGGCCCAGGAGCTGCTGCCTGTGCCCCTGCCAGCCTTGTGCCCCAGGCTGCCCTGAGGTGGAGGAAGAACGAGGTGAGGGGGGCTTCCAATTGGCTCTGAGCTCACTGCCCCCTGGTGACACTGTTTGTTCTGCAGCAGCTAGAATTAAGCCTTCCACTACAGTTACATCAGGTGCTTCTGTATTTATTCACTGACGTCTACCGTGCTTCAAGTCTGCTCTTTTAAAAGACCTGTCACTGCTTTGCATTTCGCTGTCTGGGGAAGAGGTGTTTACTGCTGAACTATGTTAGCGTTAACGATGCCACGAGTCCCGGAGCAGCTTTGCAACACAAAATAAAAGATGAAAGTCCTTCTTTCTTACCTTAGGCTCCCTTGTAACAGCACCAGAGGCAGACTGGGAAAGCAGTCTAATTTAGATTCATGATTCCTCACCTGCTTGCACAGAAGAGTGAAGTGTTTCACAGGGTTTCTGTGAATTCTCTGTGGAAAGCTACCATGTCTGTGGGTACACAGCTCAGGCTGGAACTTGGCTGCCCTTGCTCTGGGGCACCTTAGCTTCTGAGCTCCTTTCCTGTGGCAGACATGACCTGAGCAACCTTCTGAATGATGCAGCAAAAATTTATCAGGGTTAAGTGCTAGGGGTGGAGGGTGGAGTCACTTGCACAAGGGAGTAAAAGATAGGACAAGATTGCAAATAGTTGAAAACAACACACAATCACAGAATGGCTCAAGTTGGAAGTTACCTTAAAGATCACCCAGTGCCAACCCCTGCTGTGGGCAGGGCTGCCCCCAACCAGCTCAGGCTGCCCAGGGTCCCATCCAACCTGGCCTTGAGTGCCTCCAGAGGTGGGGCACTCTCTAGTCCACCGCCTCACCATCATATGAGTACAGAATTTCTGCCTAACATCTCACCTAAATCTCCCCTCTTTCTGTTTAAATCCATTCCCCCTTGTCCTATCACTATACGCCCATCGAAAAAGTCAATCTCCTTCCCTTCAAGTACTGGAAGGCTGTAATGAGGTCTCTCCTTGGAGCCTTCTCTTCTCCAAGATGAACAAGCCCAACTCCCTCAGTCTGTCTTCACAGGAGAAGTGCTCCAGTTCTCTGATCATCTTTGTGGCCTTAACATATGCAATAATTTCCCAGTACTGTATATGTAATGAATATACCTTCCATAATGCTATTATTACCTAAGAGCTCAAATTAACAGTTTCTATATAGCTGGTTTTTTTTTTTAACACTTGCTTCCTTGCCTGCTGTGAGACTGAAACATAAGATACAGACATTTTTAATTAAGAAGCAAATGAGAATAACACTCTCCCTAAAGCACTTAGAAAAATATATATCATAGCTTTACACTCTTTATTATTAATGTTTTTAATATATTTTCACCAAAGGCATTAACTCCTTTTTTTTTTTTTTTTTTTTTTTTTTTTTTTTTTTTAATACTTTAAAGCTGAAAAGGTTTTATCCATGCTTTAGGCACTAGAAGATTGAAAGATGTTATTTAAGAAAAATACTACTGCAGTCTTTCAATTGCAGCAGCATTGCTCAAAGTGGGCAAGGAGAGTATTAGCTGATACTTGTAAAATGGAGGGAATACTAATACAAGAGTGTTCGCTTTGAAAGCGGGAGATCCTTATTTCTGCAGACAGTAGCTCCATCATTTCTGGTCACAAACAGAATGATGTGCTCCATATCTGCTGAATTTGCTTTAGAGGCGATACTGGAATTAAGGCCCTTGGGTGAGGGCACAGTAATTGAATATCAATCTTCCAGTACAGCTTGTCACAGAAATAAACGTGGAGTACTCAGCCTCCAATGAGTGGACAGAACGTAAATTAAGAAAGCCCAGAGCTGCACGGTCACTTTTCAGCAGCACAGACTTCTTACTCTTTCCCCACAAAAGAAAAAAATCCCTTCTGTTGGTGGCTTGAATTTTGATGCCCTTATTCATATTGAGTTAATGCCAGGAAATCCATGGGATTACACATGAAGACAATACCTAATGCGCAAAATGGGATCAAAACTTGGCCAGCGGGTTTAAAATTGCATGATCTGACAATGCACAAATGGATTCATGCATAAAGTAAAAGCTGTTCTGCAACTTACCTCATATACTCCACGAGCACGCAGAGAACTGTGCTTTATATTCAGCTCTGCAAGTTACTAAAGCACTCTCTGGAATCATCAGTGAGCACAAACACAACTGGAGGGCAGTATGCAATTCATTGAAGAAGTCAGGGCTTTTAGGGTTATGCTGATAGAATGCGAGCTGGTAAAAACATGGCCATTTTTCTACCTTCATATTGTTAATTGTATCAAATGTCCTCAGCAGCAGAACCTTCTCCTTTTTCTGCACAATACGCATACATATGAATGAGGATAATGGAAATCAACAACCTGTTTTGCTGAACTGGAGAACAATTCTCAGACCATATGCGAAGGGCTGGATATGAAATCAATTTCACACCATTTCAGAACTGGAGCAGACTGATGACATGCCAAGCACCCTTTTTCATCCATTTGAAAGGACCTGACCTTTGAGGGCAGATGTAATCTGCACCGAGGATCTCACTCCTCCAAATACCCGTGCAAGCTGCTACAGCAAATGCAGAGAAGCGCTGTATTTCAAGGCATCACATCACAACAAATCCTGGCTTACCCAGTGTAGTGTGTGGGTGACTGGGAGCTCACAAGAGCTCAGCCAAACGCCCAGTGTAGTGCGTTTCCTTGAGCTCGCCCTGCTGCATAGGAAAGGACATTTCACAGCTACCTGCTACTGCGCTCAGGCAGTCCCTGAATATTTTATCTTCAATAATGATTTTCCCTGAGAATTCATCTTTGAAAACGTTGTCTCTGGTTGGAGAGTGAAGAGCAGCTTCACAGAGTTAAAAATAAAGGCTTTCTGGAAATACTTTAAAAGGGGCTATGACAACACACCACAAAACATTTTCCTCCATTAACGACGTACAAATGCATCAAACAAACCATGTCCAAAGTGCCCACTGAAAACCACTGTCCATTCACTGAAAGCAGCACTGTGGATCTGGTGAATGTTAGTAGCATTCTTCATAGTGCAACAGTATATCAGTAAATTAAAACACCTGAATCTCTTGTACCTCTCAACTCTCACTGTGTTGAAGAAAAACAATAGGACACCTAATTACTGCGGTTCATGGTTGGTATACTGGCACACAGATGTAAATAAAACTGCAAGTATGTAAACAGAACAGTAAGGGACACGGGTCTCTCTGTTTTGTTTACACGCAGGAAAAGCAGAACAGAAGTCAATTACAGCAGCATTTTTTGCTGACCACATTTGTGACACAAAGATTTACTTTCAACATATTGCTTTCTCCTCCCTGCCCCTGAATTCCGTCTTCAGGAGGAAAAGGCACGCTCCTGATCTAACGCTGTCTCTGTGGAAAGTTGAGAGGTACGCTGCTGTTAGAGCACACGTGGGAAATGCACTCAGCAAAACCAAACAAAACTAAAACCACAAGAAAACAATCCCCACCCTTTAACAAACGCAAACAAACCGTGCCGTTGTCACACGCATGCTGGGCACAGAAAGCAAGATGTGACAAACAGAAGCCATGGCAGTGAGCTTGCATCTCACTAACCTCTCTCACTGGCTTTCCAGGGGCATTTCTTCCTTTAGGACCAGAGAGAGGAAGTGGAAGAAATATCAGAAAAGAAAAAAACAACAACAACAACACAACATGAATATGTTCTTCATACCGTAAAAGACACTTCAGTTTCCATTTAGGAACTTAATATAAAGTAACTATTTGTGCTTTAAACAAAGACTGAAAGTACATTGAAATCCACTGACAATTCTGAGCTGATTTATTCAAGAACAGTTCTGTAATCTGCTGTTTGGTTTTAACTTAGCAAAAACACTTGAGAAAACCACTAAAACCAACACACAGCCCTTTCAGCTGAGGATAAGGATGAAAGAGAAAATCTGATTCATATTCTGGGCATGCACATTTTGTCAATTTGTGTACTTCTTCTAATTAGCAGTGGTGGTAAAACCGTGTTTATCCAACTTCAAAATTATTTTATCTAAACATATTTTATTATTGCCTACATATGTATGTACCCATGTATTCACTCATATATACACATAGGTGTACTCACATACATTTTACACCTAAAGCCATTAGACAGAATATTACTATTCTCACATTCAGGATAAATGTACTCAAGAAGGTATTTCCAACAAGTCGACCCGCATGCATTTAACAATGATAGAGCAAAGGCACAAAGAAGGAGAAAAATGAAGTAAAAGGGAAAAAAAAGGAAAGTTTCTCAACACTTTTAAGTTGCAACAACAAAACCGAGCAGTCAGTAATGACTTCAGCTGAAAAGATGTCCCTTATGAACCTTCCTAGAAGCCACACTTTGATCCAACAGATTCTTCTCAAACACTTGTTGTGGTGTATTTTGCTTTAAAAAAAAGAAAGCTGGGTGCAAATCAACTGCTGAAACACTTCCCCCTGTACCCATTCTATGTCCAGTGACAATAAACACTCGCCATCTCCAGAAGCCATATTCCATTGCAACTGGTACACTCCTGAAGCACTGGTACTGCCAGACCACGAGTCTTAGGCCTCTAAGAGCCTCAAAGGCAGATACTGTTTAAGAAAGAGAATGATCTTTGCCCCAGAGCTGCTGTAAGTAATGTAATTGTGAGTGTTATGAGACAGCAGGGGGAGAGAAAGCTATGTGACAGAGAAGACACTGGTCAGCATAACAGAGACCTAAGTGCTGTCAAGTTTTGGAAGGTGTCATGACCTGCAGTAGAAAGGCAGAGAAAGAATATGATAAGTTTGCGAGTGTTTTACAAGGAGCAGAAAAAGGCTCAGCAACCTCATGCATCTATGCAGTTTTAGATTAAAGCACAGAGCACAAAGCACCCACTGAATTGCTTCTCTTCCACAGAATGCAGGAGAGGGGCAGGCTTTAGAGAGATCTGCAAACAGTACTTTTTTCTTAAAATAGAAGTGGATTGAAGTGTTGTGACTTTTATTAATGTACTCTTAGTTTACATCAGGACTGAGTACTCAGTGTCAGAAAGGATCTAGCCCTCCATATCACTACTGCAGAACTCTGCAGAGCAGCTCAGCTGCTACGCACTACAGCACACTGCCCCAAAGGAACCATAAGGAATCTCAGTCACCTGGGCCAAGTGATGTGCTATGCAGGACCACAGCACGGAGGGGGGGAATACACACCAGAAGGAGCCAAGCTAGCTCAACTGGAAGAGTATTTCCAGAATTCCCTACAGTGTAATTACTCCAGCGTATTCTTATGATTCAGTACCTTGTGAAAAGTCTGAGTCATGAGGTGTTTAGCTGCCAGAATGAGAAAAATTCTGTTATTTGCAGTGATCAAAGCTGCTAGTCCCACTTACAACATTATCCCATTCCTAGAAGCTGGGTGATGCAAGAAAAGAATGTGTCTGGTATGCTTCTATGTGAATGAGATAAAAGTAAAGCAGAACTTCTGCTATTCTTAGTGCCATTTATTTAATGTTGTGGGATCTTGTAATGTCACTGCACAAAAAAACATCTGTATTAGGCAGTACTGTGTTAAATAATTATGGTGAGTGCTGATCCCTCTCTAGAGGTGTCCAAGTAATGCCACAGCCCCATAGCTCTTTGAAGCCACCACGGTCTCATTTCTAACCACATCATTGCTCCTACTTCCACAAGCACTGCTCTGCACTGACATTGTGGGGAACTCACACTGAGTTCAATAACTCAAGAACTGTCCTGAAATTCACTTCTGAGTTTCACTCACAAATACCATTTGCCACAAAACCGTAACTACAAAATAGTCTGCTCCACTGTGAGATCCACCTGCAATAATGCAAACTCTTTGTCCTCAGTGTTGAAGGAGAAATGAATTTGGCTTTAAAAATACTACCCTGCCAATCTTACTTTCTAATTACAAAAGAATTCCCAGGAGATTCAGGTACCTGGGCACAAACACAGTGTGAAAATGTTTTCCTCTGTGGCCTACTATCTAGCAGGGTCAACTAAACCACTAAGGTGGTATTTAATAGTATATTTCCACTAAATGTCAGCCCTCTGACTTTGACATCTGTTATGAGTTAGCACAGCAGCTGTCTAGAGCAGCTGCAGCAGTTGTGAATTTGCTGGGAGCAGCAAAGTAAAGCAGGAATGGATGGGAAATCTCATAGGCTTCTAGTAAAGAAAAACTACTTAGGGACAGCAATCATCAGGTATTCAGCAACATTTTCCTCCACAGAAATCAAATGGCTTTCAGCACCTACAAAGCTTTCAGCTGTGCGAAGAGCACAGAGGTCCTGCGCTACTTAGGAAACGCTAACAACTGCCCAAAGGTGAAACTGAAGAAACTGAACACCTATAAAAGGTACAAAGGAATACAAGTTACTTCATCTGAAATCTGCTCATGAAGATCTGTGACATAATTTGTTTAGTGCATGGTTTTCTAAAATACGTTCAAAACAAATGCCACGAAACCTTGATGTCTCTTTCAGAGCACCAATATATAGCCAAGATTTGGTAAATACGATAATCAAAACAAATCTGTCTCCAGGTGACTAAAAATTAACCAATACCATATAATTTATTGCTTTGTTTCAGAAGGCCAAAATAAAAGCTTCCTGAAGCAATATCCTGTTCAGTGTATTGACAGTAACTTCCCAGGCTTTTAATACAACCCCAGATTTCCTCCATTTATTCCAATTTCAGGTTATTTGGAAGGATGGATTTCATTTTTTTATTCTCTACTCTTTCAAACTAAGATTTTGCTGTGTGCGTTATGTCATTTGTAGCTCCTCTGAAATTGCATAATCTATTAATACCACAGCAGAATGCTCTTTCTACAACATTAGTATAGAAAAAAAACCAAAGTTAGTTCAAATCCTAGTCAACCTTGCACATTTAATCTATCATCCTGCTATTCTGAACTCTTAGAGATGGTATGCATTCTGAGTGGTTGCATTTAATCCACGTAGTTTGAATTCAAGTTTTAAATAGTATCTCATGAGCTACTGTGTCAGAAAGCACTCCGACAGCCAAGCTACGATGACTGTGTTTCTTGCGACAGACAATTTTTTAAGTCTACTTAAAAAAATAAAATAATTAACGTAAGAAAATCTTGATAGAATTGTGCTTGTTGCTTGTTTGAGTTTATTGTTTTGTTTATTGAAAATCTGCAAGTGGCTCGAGATTTTATGCTGCCTGTCGTGTAAAGAAATAACACTTCCACCACTTCTGAATCCTTATCTTATGCTGCTCTGACACTATAGATATAGTGATAGATATAGATTTGCATGTCTCAACAGCAAGATGGCCTTCAATTCAGAGTTCTGCTGAAACGAATCAGCTCTGCTTCCTTTTCCCCCATCTACAGTCTTGTAAATTACAAGTAGCATCCCAGAAGCCTGTGGAAGCTGCCTGCACGTGGATGGCACCATCTTAGATTACATTCTAATCCTGGCTGTGGCAAAGTATCTGTTGATGTAAGCTCCGTTTATGCAGTATCACGATATTCAACTGAAAATATCAGTTAATCATTAAAATGAAGCAGAAGAAAACTCCATTACCGAAGCATGTGTGAAGTCTCAGCAAAATTGACAATTTCACTAGCCTTATATATCAGTGACTGGAAAGCCATCTGCATTGGCTGTGGGAGAAACTTCTTTTTTCCATGGATGGTTTTACCTTCCCTACTCTTCAATCAAAAAGCAACTATACAAACCTAACATTAATGCAAAACACATCAAAAAATAAAGAACAAAGTAAGACGATGAAACGCATCCTTGATCTCTTTAGCCCAAACTGTAAAATAAGTCACAAGAAGTGAACAACTTTTTCTCCCACGTGAACTAATCTTACTGGGTAGCCAAAGAGAGGGGAAGAGACAGGCTCTTATAAAGCCCAAAACTGGTTTGGTCAGGTCCAAGAGAAATGTCTTGTAGGAACTCAGATTTTGTCAGACTCTCTCCGTTTAGAGAATAATTTTGTCCTTTACTGTTGCTAGTCAGGCAGAAAAACAGGAACAAACAGCGGCTGTGTTTTAGAAAATTTGATATGAGTGATATATTATTTCAGGGACAGAAGAGCTTATAGAGTCTACAAAGGCCAAGTATTGTGGAGCAGTCTTTCTGCTGCACAAGCAAAGGATAGAAAGATAAGGATATCACATTTATAAGCAGTGGAAAAACAGCTCTGAATCAGCACCATCTGTGAAAATAAATTGTTATCTAAACATACTAATTCTGATTCGTTCTCATCTGTCCGAGTAGGAGACTGTCCCAGCAAATACTTCACCACTTTTTCTTCGTTGTTTCTTCACAGAGAATATATTTCTTGCGATCTCTTTTAATACACTTTTAATATGGTTATTGACAAGAGAAATAAAATCAGGAAATATATTCATTCTCCACATTTAAATCACCACATTCTGTAACAACAGAATGGAGATGTGAAGTTACAGCTTATCTTTCTGAACTAAAATATTAACTATTGTTAAAAATTTCCATTTTTTTTCCACTGGTATGCATATTCTGCTATTTTTACCCGCGAACTTTTACTTTTCATTCCTCACTAATAAAATAAAAACCTTTATTTTCTATTCCTAGTTAGCCAAGAATAGTATCTAAGAGAGCTCCTGCAGGCAGTCTATGTCCCTATTGAAACCCAGTCAACCAAGTATCAATAGACATTGAGACATCCCTCTGCCAAGAGGATTATGTCTGTGCCTTCTTAACTGCTACAGGTACATCCTGCACATCCCCTCTCCTGTATTTCAGCTGGACTCAGGTAAGATCCCTCCTTGGTGAAAAAAACAAGTTCCAAAAAATACAAATGTCTACCTTGAGCAAACAACAGGAATGAGTAGAATAGAGGCATTGAAAGAAATGCTGTGGCTGTACACAGCCTCTGCTGCACAAACAAACCACCCACTTGTTTTTCCTCTGTCACTCTGAACTTATGTGCTACAAGGTCAAGAACTCTGATTTAGAGTTTAATATTATTTAGAAGCATGTTCATCTTGGAAAAAGGCAGGAAGATAAATGTGGTAGGATGTATTGACATAAATCGGAAAGGGGGACAGCCTGAAGGAGAGAAGCTGTGAGAAAAGGAACACAGCCAAAAGGGAGAAGAATAAAAAGCTAAGGAAACAAGAGTCGGAGAGGATGCTGTTTCATCCACTTATCTAGCTGTGGACGTACCTTAAGGTAAAGGAGGGGCAGGTTGCTTCTCCACTCTAAACGGGACAGGTTTATCTACAGCAATTGGTAAAATAAAAAAAAGTAACAGCAAAAAAATGGAAACCAAAACCCAAACACCTGAAAACATGAAGGAAGAGAATGCAGTTTTAACTTCCGCTCTGCCCAGAACATCCACAACTTCTTTACAAGATAGTGATGCCCTCCTCCACTGGCACATGCTCCCGGGCAGCAGGGCTTACCTCTGGAACTGGGGAAGGAGTTGTTAAGCTGCTCCATCACTTCCTCCAAACCTGTGCTTGTGTCCTGGGGAGGGCTGAGCAGGTCGTCCTCGCCTGGAAAGCAGATCCAGACCGCTGCATTGAAGCTACTATGAAATCATTTGCTAACATCCCAACTACTGCGTATGTCCTTCATGAAGCTATGCTCAGTGACTTAGCCACATTCTCTGCTTACTACATAATGATAATTGCCAATTTGGATTTTATTTACTATTCTTGCAAGTTTAAGGATCTAAGGAAAATTAAATGGATTTAACACAATTAACCCTGATTTAAATTTGTAATAAGAAAGTTAAGAAATAACCTGCTCTGGTAAAAGAAGTGGGGCAAAATGTCTGCTAGGAACATTTAGTTCTATAGATGAGGCTCTTCGTTTCAACTTCTCTTATTCTATTAATGGTAAAAGAAACTACTGTTGTAAGTGCTGCTATTGAGCAGCTTTCTAACAGTGCTGGATGCACAGTAGTGCTGCTTTGCCTAGCTGCTTAAGTCAGTAGAAACCAAGATTCTCATCTGCATCACTATTAATATTTCTGACAGTTTAATTGCATCAGATTGGCGCTCCAAGAACATTCAATTGTACTTTAAAAGGGTTTAGCAGCAGTTTAATAAAGTGAAACACATCTCTCCCACCGAACAATTTCTATAACCTCATCATAGGGCAGTAGCTTAATGGGAAATTCAATATATTTTATTTTTGGTTGCAGTTTCCAATAACCACAATCAATCTGTTTATTTTACTGTAAAACCATTGCCTCTCATAGGAATAAAACACCTAAAAAGAGAATATACCTAAATGATACTTTCAGTGAGATCCTCTTTTACTAGATTCCTTTTATCTCTACCAAAGTACAAAAACAATTTTGCCTTTTGTAATAATCACAGAGAGGTACATCCTTATTTTAAAAATGACTTAAGGGTCCTTTTTTCTATTATGCCTTGCCCTACTCAACTTCAGTAATAAATAATCTAATTTGCTGTTAGCCTTAAGATTCTTTAAACACTATCAGCATTCCACATTAGTGCCATGTCTACTAAAAGAGATGCTGCTAAAAGGAGCACTTCACAGCTGTACGTATTCCTTATGACTTGAATTAGTGTTAGCCTCACCTTCAGGCCAGGAGTTTCAAAAGACTTAATGGTCAAGAATTACTGGTAACAAAGTGTAGATAAACAAAGGTAAAGCATCTGCAAGAAGCACATAATTCATATGAACAGCTATTCCATTAATGGTTTGAAAAACAGCTGCTGAGACTGCTGCAGTTTGTTCAGATTTTTCTACAGGTGTTGGGTTCACAAGCCAGTAACACTCAACTCACATCGTGAGCTATTTCTGCAACAAGTGCTACATCAACAGAGGTGCCTTAACAACATGAAGGTCCTTTCAGCCTCTGCTGGATGCTAAGATGGAAACTTAGAGGAAGATCTTACCGCATCTACCCAAGCCTTGTGAGCATGCATGTAGAAAACAACTGAAGATTGTAAGAAGGCAGCAGCTCTGCTCTCACGGCCAAGAACTGCCTTAGACAAACTGGCAACAGTTATGGAATTCCAAATATCCTGGTAAGTGCTGTTATAAATTGAACTGTATTTACCCTCAGGACTGCTATAACTTTACTTAAAATGCACTGGTTTGTTCCTTCCCATTTGGATGATTTTTCTGAGCCCTTCCTTGTAAGTAACACAAGATACCAGCCAAGAAATCTTCAGACGTTCATTACGTCTCCACCCAAACTGGTCTTCCCTATTTGTGTTTCTATAAAGGGCATGGAGAGCTGGGTGGATCACAAATTTTGGCACCTGAATAAACTGAAGTTCAGCAACAACCTCTTGGTTCAGAGCTTCATGGCTCTGAGAGTCTCCGTTACCACTACATTACTGAAGGGGAAAGCCAAAGATTAGGGCCTTCCCATTTAAGATTTTCAACTTGCTTAACTGTCTCTTTATCAACGGATTTGCAAATTAGGCTCTGAGTGAGTTACTTGTTTTCACCAAAAGGTTGGACAACACCACTGGCAGAAAGCTTTTTATATTAATCCCTCCTTGAGAAAGCAGACAGACACGAAACAGAGAGATGGGTTTCCTGTCAGAAACAAAAATATATAAAAGCTACCACAGTGGTCACTGTCTTTAGAGACCTACAGATCCTGGGCATTTTCTTGAAAATTATGACTCCCTCTTTATTGGGAGCAAGCTTCTCGTATGAAAGCATTATTTATAACACCATTCTGGTTCCATTCACAATTTCAGAATACTTTAAGTTATGCTTTGAAAAAACTCTCGAACTAGCAAACGATGCTTTCTGGTGTGAAAGGTGACAGCAACAGCTGTGATTAGCAATTCTTTTTATAAACACTGTTCCTTACTGCTGACCCTGTTGCATTGCTGAGTGTCAGCATGATCGTACTGATAACAATTCAACACCTCTCTGTTCTTCCATATATTGTCTCAATCAAACAAAGAAAAAAACCCATTTCATGTCTAAACATCTGTTTCAAATAAAAAAAAGCTTCAGCTGCTAATATGATTATATGCATATTAATTAATTCCAGTCTCACATATTAAACGGGAATTATTTTAGATCAAGTCAAATGAAAGGAAGTACATGACTGTATTTCTAGCCTACTAAAGGAAAAAATATGAAACTGTAAGACTTTTTAATTAGCATACTTAGTGTCATGAAATTCATGACATTTCTTCGGAAAGCCACTGAAAATTACTCAGCAGCAAAATATTTACTCACTAGTAACATAATTACAGAAGGAATTAAATGAAATTCCCGTTATCTGTCATTGTACTCTTGTCCCCAGTCTTTAACTTAAGCGACCCTACGATTTATTTCACTTTTTTTTTTTGGTGGTAGAGCCTACAGAATGCATCTTGTTTGATACCAGTACAAGTTGACAACTCCACCCACACTCAGGAGGGAAGACAGAACTCCTTCACAGGTTGCCTCTCTCATAACTATGGCACTTCAGACCAACCAAAACATTTCTTTCCATTCCATTTCTCACTGGGACAGACTCTTTCTCTAACCATAGTAAAGAGAAAAGCTTCCATTTAAGACTTCCACTTCCCCCAAAAGCCTCTCTTGGATGTACACTTAATACATTTATATTTATGAAGTTGTATGTTACTTTCCAATTTTAATATTATCTTGCTTAAGTAATTTAAGTACTACTACTTAAAGATGCTGCAATGGATGACTGCATTTCACTAACAGAAAATCCTTCCCACTGGCTAATAAATAATCCCTAATTATAAAACAGACAGGAAATCATGAAAATGCTACAGCAGTGGATAACAATTCCAATCTCTATTCATGGCATCTTATTACTTAACCTTATTCTACATCTCATGTGACATTTACTTAGAAGAGACACTACACGAGCTGCTGGAGAGTGACAGCTCTATCCTACTGCTCAAGCAATGACATATTAAAAATACCATCACCTCAGTTAACATGGGGATGATTAATCATACACTTAATCTCTTTGTCCATTAATACTATGTCCATTTCAGTCAGCCATGTTATGCTTAATAGCTGAATGTCAATCTGAATAAAACACTTAACTGGTTTCTTTGTGATGTTTGTTTTTAGAATTCAAGCCCTGACTGATCTGTGCATTTAAAGTCAAAATATCTACGCTACTGTGCACATCATCATCAAATCCAAAAGCCTGAGCCACAATGAAAATGTAAAGAGCCAAGTGATATCGAAGACTATTGCAAATGTCTACTTCATTTCACTTGAACTAACAAGGCAGCAAGATTTTTTTTCCTGGAAAATGGGACTGTAACTATTTTTTATGACAATCTGAACTTTGTTATCTTACCCATGGTTTCTGAAGTCTGGCTGCCAACTACACGAAGAAGCATTGGCTGACTGCTGTCTGACCTCTGCAAAGAGGTAGAAGGAGATGATAGTGTTGTACCATTCACCTTGGCATCTGCCTGTGGCTGAAAATTGAGGGAAAAAAGAAGAAATTGTTATTAACAGTTTGATACAGTCGTACAATTCTTTGCACCTCCGTATTTTTTATTTATACCATGAATACACACAGTTTTCTGCTTCTTTTTTAAGTATATCCACATGACCAATGCATTTAAATTCTGAATAAAAGAGAAAACTAGATAAGAACTCTGAAACATAATTTCACCTTGCCTCCTGAAGTCAATTTTGAACAATTTAAGATTTTTCGCTGACTGGTCTCTACAGATATGATTTTGTGGTATGCTATCATTATGGGCAACAGCTCACACCCTGTTTGAAAAATCACAGAGATCTCAGAAAAGGCCTCAGGACTCGCCTGCTCCAGCAGCTGCCTCAGCCTGTGCAGCTGTGACTCCAGCTGTTTGTTGTGATCCTCCAGAATCTGCATCCTGGCCTCCAGGCGGCCCTTGTGCTGGCGGAGCAGTTTGGCTTCTGCAATAAGTTCAGCATCGCGGGGACTTTGTGGAGAAACCGGCATCATCTCTGGTGGGGATGGCAGTGGAGACAATCCTTTGTGATCATGCTGCTGCTTCAAACGGTCATACTCCGCTTGCAAGTTTCTGTTGAAAAGCGACAGAGAAGTAAAGCTTTACCAAGCAGAATAGCATTGCTCACGCTGCCCTCTCCCACAGGCAGTCGGAACGGTGTTCCTCTCCTGTGATGTGATACCTGCAGCAACCAGAGAGACAGAGGCTCAGCTCCAGAACCTGCCTTAGATTCTGCTGATTCCAAATCCATGTTGGATTACACCTCGTAGATTTGCGCACAGCAAATGGAACTGTGCTACAAGTATTGCCTAAAGGCTCTCTGCATCATGAGAGTTCAAAATTAATTCCTTTCCAGGGCACACAAAGCAGAAGGCTGGCTGGGCTCTAGACACCGTCCTGCTCAGTACAACATGTCCTGAGTTCAGTCCTCAGCTTTCTGCATTTTATAGTTGCTAGTACAAGTTGAATTGTCTCTGCACTACCAAGCACAAATACACTAGTGTAGTAATTAGTGCTAAAAGAGCAATCAAAGCACTTAACAAACACTAATCAAAGCTTATACCACCTTGCCCCATTGCACAGATGAGAAAATTAAGAAAAAAAGGACACTAAAAAATTCAGAGCAAACCACAGAATTCAAGAGTTCATTTGCAACTGTGCTCGCATTAATTAGGCCACATAATTCTCCTTCCTTTATATTTATATATATACATAAGTGCAATTGCATTTATAGTCTATCTTTAAACTGCACTGTGTTTCGCTAATTCAAGAGGCTTTAATTTCCACCTTAGTTTGGTCTATCTACAGTGCTGCAGTCTACTGTGACATTATGACACTACTAAGCTTGTTTTTCTATTGCATAAAACTCCAGTTTCACTCCAGTAAAACTCTGCATAGATTATTATGATCTATAACAACATATATACCTTACTGGGGTTAACAATTTTTCCAACAATGGAAAAATGGTACCTGGTAGTAGAAAAGCACGAGATGCCTAATAGCCTGCTCTGGGATTTTGTTGTTCTGATGTTTCTCTATTGCTTCCCAGAGGGGGAGAAATGGCTCCGTAGATGGTAGGCTGCTAACTGCTTACTCATCACAAGCAGTGACCCAGATTTCATTTTTTCCCAACTTGCTCTTACTTGAGGTTGTGAGATAAGACACTTTTTCCAGTTTTGCCTGCAAACCACAACGCACTCTGACATTTCGGTCTGAAGTCTAACTAGCACTTCAGAAACCCCCCAGTAAAGATTATTAAGCTCTGAAAAATTCCTGAAGGTACATTTTTGTGACCAGAACAAGAACCAGAGCAGCGTCACTTGGACAATGAAACGATGCCGAGGATAAAGACAGACTGCTGACTGCTCCTCAAATATTGCACTTCTGTCACAGGGCAAATGTATGGTGGATGCAACCTAACTTGGGACAGTGAAAACCCCAGAAAACCATCCCTCACGGATGTCTCCCTTGCACAACCTCTCTTCTGCAGAGGAAACCAAAAAAAGATAAAAAGAAAAAAATGAAAAGAAAGAAAAGGCATCGATCCATTGATCCTTCCTATCTGCAGGCTGTTCTGTAACTCAGAATCTCTTTCCTTCTCTAAAGCCCACTAGGAGTGGACAAGAGACTATGGAGAGAACTCAATAGCTGCTGTTAGACATAATCTATATTATTTTCTTGTTGCTCTGTGAATAGCTATAAAAATTTGATTTCATGAAAGGGATTGACAAGTTCTCCAAAAAAAAAAATGAGAAAAACCTGTGGATGGCAAATTAAGAAGATGCTAAAAAAGTTAGTTATTTGCTTCCAAATTAGACAGGTTTAAAAAAAAAAAAGATTTTTTTATTAAGTAGTTTCCAAGTCCAAAAAATATCTGAAAGAAAGAAAGGAGGGCTGTAATGAGTGTTGCCTTTCGTGAGACTTAATGTTTTCTGATACTGCTAGCTGAATGAACTGGTGAATAATTAATAAAAATACTAAAAGGAAGAGGAATGAGAAAGACAACAATATTGCCCAGAGAGGTTGTGGATGCCCTGTCCTTGGAGGTGTTCAAGGCCAGGTTGGATGGGGCCCTGGGCAGCATGGTTTAGCATTAAACGTGGAGGTTGGTGGCCCTGCATGTGGCAGGGGGGTTGGAGATTCATGATCCTTGAGGTCCCTTCCAACCCTGGCCATTCTGTGATTCTGTGATTCTGACTGCAGAGTCCTACTGTACATTAAAGTTTACATACTATTGATCATTAAGCTTGTTTTTCACAAAGTCTGTAGACTGTGGCTATTAATGTCCTGTGAGGAGTTTCACAGATGCATAAAGCAGCAATATTCTACAAACAGCAGACTTAGAAAGTCTCAAAGTGCCGTAAAGCAAAAGATTTACTACCACCCTAAGGGAAACCAAACAAATGCAGTTGGTCATACCTACAACATAATCACTGCTACAAAGAATCTATGATTATGCCTTCAAGTGTCAAGACAGAGAAATCTCTCCAGTAACTATGGGACTGAAAAACAACTGAGCATCAAGGAGTAATTCAGATAAAAATGTTTTCATGTTTGATATAGAATAGTCTAAAACTCTTTCTGAAATGCTACAGGAAAAAAAAAAAAAACTGTTGTAAAGGATTCTGCACATTAACCAAACAAAGGCGTCTGAATTTATCAGTTGCATGAGATCTAACATACAGAGAACTGTATTTACATAGAGGGAAAAAAACTCCAATGTCAGAAAGAAAGAAATCATTTGAAAGTTGCTCCAAGAACCTCCTTGAGGAGAGAACAATCTGTTTTTATTCCCACCTCTGGAATAGTTTCAAGCTATGGGGTGAAACAGAAATGCTGCTGCAAGCCAGGCATCCTAAGAAGTGTCCACAGCTCTCAGAAGACAACATCTGTGTCCTGAGGAAAGGTGCTGTCTTACATTTTCAGCATAAAAGAGAAAGGAGAAATGAAAGCATGATCTTCTGTAAATGAATGTGACTGAGCAATGACCGGCAATACTCAGAAATCCAGCCTCAACTGGATGACTTTCACAACTGGATGTCACAAACACAGCTAATGCATCTTCTGATCACTGGGAAAATATATTATACTTCAGTAAGAGAAAGAGACAAAGAAAAAAAAATGGATTTAATTAACAACGCTTGCACCTCTTTCAAGCATTCATGAAGAAAAATAACAGGGGAAGTATGCAATGTAACCTTGATTTATGCAATTGGAAAGAAATGGGTAGTAAAGAGCTCATGAGTTATTAATCACATCTATCAATGGCAGGATTAATTGCCTGGTGAGAGAAATCCTAGTGGACCCCATTTGCTGAGTATTCCTCTCAGAGGCAATTGAAAATTTCTGAATTCAGGTTATTCTTCATCTGCCAACAGAAAATTAGTGGTTTGAAGAAATGGACAAAGCGGGTGAATGAACTGCCTACCGCTATTCCTCATTAGAGTGCCACTGCTTACTTATGATGCTTCACATTCCAAAGATCTAGTTCCACTTTTTCAGTGCCAGAATAAATATCAAAAGGAGCCACAGCATATTTAGAAATACATCACTTTCTGGCTACTGGCAACTATACAGAAATAACTTTGTCGAGGCCAGTCAGGTTTGGAGGATCACTACAGCTGCTTTAAAATGGCAGCTTTGAGATTTGGCATGTCATTGCTTCTCCAGTGGCTCACAGCCCATTGCGCGTCCAGTGCAAGTCAGAAAAGTAAAGGAAAGGCAAATAGCTCAACCTGGAGACATTCTTGTTACAGTACATCTAAGAGCTGGGAAATTAATGAGAGAACAGCAAAAAAGTCTCCCTTTTACAGGAGTGTGTTGGAGTGATTGAGTCAATGAAACTATTAGGAAACATTGATCTTTTAAATCACTAAAAGAACACAGAAGTAGTTTAATTATTTGCAAAAAGTTTTGAGATTGTCTTGTAGCAAAATCATGCAGTCCTTATAATGCTAGTATGGTACATTCACATAATCTATGTCATATACTGCCAGAGATGGACACATAATGTCCCATCTTGCTTGCTATGGAAATATATTCACTCTTAAATTTCAGAATGTACTTTTGGGCATTTTTATAAGGGTTTGTGGTTTTATTTTATATAGCAATATTGTCCTCAACAGCAAGATTACTTTATGTCTACTGGATACACCAAGATCTTATCACAATATTCAGCGTGATGTAAAACTAAGCATGAGTCTGAAGGCCTAATGCTCAAGTAAAACAGTTTCGCCAATTGAAACTATTCTCCAAATGTTCAGATTTTAGCAAATATAAATTATTTAACAGTCAAGTTTTAGGTATGAATTATTTACAGCAGTCATATTGTAACTACAAAAGCACCAAGATCTCAAAATTCTACTAGATAAATAATTAATATCTAACAAGAGGTCCTTGGAATTGAAAAAAATAAACCACCACCAAACAAAATAAAAGAATTCAGAAGTGTGTCACAGCTACATTAGTTTATAATTTGGATAATACATTTCAGAAGAATTCAAAATAGGCAGCAGAACTTTTAAAACTGTCCAAAACCAAACCTCAAATTTTCAATTTCAAAGAGCCTTTGTCAAATCAAGATGGAAATGTCTGGAGACCAGGAATTGCAACTGAAAACCAAATGGAAGTCAGAATTTTATAAAAAGCTCAAACAAGATGAGGAAAAATGAAAACAAGAAGCAAAACGGAGAAGGGCTTTTTTAAAGGTAGGAAAGTGTGGAGAGCGGAAGAAAAAGCAGAATGATAATGAAGTGTTTTGAATATCTTAGTGCTGCTTCTTTTTGGTACTTAATGCAACTTTCCCAATAGCTGCTGAGAAGTGAACGCATATGCTGACTGTAACTACAGAATAATAAAAGACACAGCAGGGAGAGCTAAATCCTCATTGTCAAAATCTATCACAAGTGCATGCAACAAAATTTCTGCCAATATGGGCATGAAAAGATGACTATTTATGTAGCACTGCTTGCCTTCTAGCCATGTACCTTCCCAGGAGCAAGTATCACATTTAGTTCAAAACCAGGAAGGAAAGGCAGTCCAGTGACAAGACCTGAGGTATTCACAACAAAAATGAAACAGTCTAGTCACCTTAAGGCGGGACAGAGGACCAAGAAATCACAACATGATTTGCAACACGTTCAGCCCTGTTTCCAGCAACAGATTCACCAAGTCTTCATGCTGCGGTAATAAACAATGTTTACCTGGAGATTATTGTTAGAAGTAACATGAAGAACATGCTTTAATGCACCAGAAGCAGGGTGATACAAGGAATATGATCACAGTTTGTTGACTACCTTTCTAAGAGCCAAAAAGTTTTGAACTGATTCATAGGAGAAATACTAGAAAAAACAGATCTTAAGGGACCAAACCATTTTTAAAGACAGGTAAGCAAATGAATGGCTCCTGAGTGATCCTGTCTGAATGGTTTATTTTTGTGGCAGGAATCAGTTTCCTGTATAAAATCATTCACCTTGGTGTGACAATCTATCAGGACAAAAAGCAACAACCTCTTCTCTTTTACGCTTCTGCCTCGTTATTTTAAGTAAAACTTATTTATAGAAGTTTGCAAAGACGTCTGCAGAGACAAAAGTCATGATTTTGTCATGATCAATGAAAATTGCAACAGTGAGATTTCCACATTGCCCCGAAGAAGCAGACCTCTTCGTCCCTGTTGCTTTTAGACCCGACTCATCCATAAAAGCAGAACCTACTTGTGGCAGCATCCAGCTAGGAACTAAGCCTCTAATAGCAGAAATATGCAAACTACAGACTATAGTCCTACTTATACTTTGTGGCTCTTGTTGGATTGCCAAACCTCAGAACAGGTATTTTTGCAGTACAGTTCTCCTCTGTTATCTCTGAATGTATTAATCCTCATCAGTAATTATTATATTAAATAAGGTTAATACTAAAATTTAAGGCACACTCTCAAAAGGAATTTTTTTACAACTTTCAGTTATGTAACTCAAGGTAACATTAATGTTCACATTCCCATTTTTTAATCTAAAACTAGGCTTTTTGAAGAGCCATCCTGCTTTCCAAGTGAGCAATGTGTTTTAAATGCAGACAGAAGAGCATTCTGATTTTTGTTCTTTTTCCATGAATCACTTCCTGGTGCAGTTTGAAACAGCAATGTCCCTGAAAACTAAGCTATCTTATTATTTCTATTTTATCAATTACCTAATACTTCTAAACTACACAAGTCCTGAAAATGGGAAGTATAGTGGCTTATTTTAAAACACTGATTCTCCTCCAAATTAGAAAGCACTTGGGTTTATGTATAGTGTATTAGCCTGGAGTTTGCTTCCAACAAAACCTGACTGCCGTTTGTTGAAGAAGGGCTTTATTTACTACAGTTTTCTGTCCCAAGTTTTCCTCATCCTTGATGAGGATCCTGTACATTCTCCCAAATCCTCCTGAAAAATGTAAGTTCTTGACTGTTCCTCTTTATTTCTCAGTCTCCTGTTTATTAACTTTGCAGAACACTTAAGTAACAGATGGAAAGAAGCTTCAAACAATGCCTTCTCCTCAGCTTTAATGACATCTGGACAAGCTGAATTTGACTTCATTGCAGCTACTAATGGACAGAGTAAGGGAAGTCAGCATTTTCAAGAAGAGGTGGGGCTCAGACAGGGGTCTGTCAGACATCATGTCAGCTTTTTTTCAGGCAGAATAGAACATTTCTCCAAGTCTTTTCACTGCTACTGATTTCTCACAGAAAACAGCTAGACTTAGCAATTTGATCTAAAGCTTGACGTGGCCTGAAGATTTTGTAGTTTGATTCAGAGAGGGTGCAACACTGCTGGAAACAGAAGGGCATGAGAAAATAATGGTGGATTAGAAGTAACCTCTACAGCAAATTTCAACTTTAATGAAAAAAACCTGTGTGAAACAAACTACTAGTTATATTAATTACTTCTGCCCCTGGAGATTTATTGAGAAAGACCTACTTGAAAGTAAAAACTGGTATTTATGGACAAGAGGCTCTTCTCTTTTTTCCTGGCTGAAGCGTATTATACAGAAATACAGAACTAATGTTCAGGGGACTAGCTGATGCAAGTCAGAAGGAAGCACAAGGCAGATTTACATCTTCCTCCTACTCTAGGTGACTGATAGCTTATTTCAGGTTTCTAAATGCCAAAATCAACTCAAGTTGTTCTGCAAGTCCAGGCTATGCTCTCTGTGAACAAGTCCCAGCCACAGTCTTATAGAGATGATGGGGTGATGGAGGCACTATAATTGATTACTAGCATCAAAAGGAGACTTCTGCATGGAGAAAAGATCTATAGCACTGCCAACTCTTGCAGTTATTTCCTTGACATTCCTAAGGTAAATGATTACTGCATTACACCCTCAACATAAACAAGAGTATCTAGCTCTTGCAGAAACAAGAAAAAGGAGCATGAAAATGCCATCCTATATGGTATCCTATACCGTAAAAGCTGAAGACAAAAGAAGGCAAACAAAATGTGCTTTCTGTAGATCTAATAATTTTTATGTTACATTTTGATTTTAGAAGTTCTTGGTTGCAACTATTAATCTATCAATATATCAAGATCTACCAGTTTTTTATGCTGATGGCATATGGCTCCAGTGTACCACAGAATTGGGACTGCAGTGTTGTGATGTTGCAAGAAATCATTTGGGGTTGTTTTGGGATTTTTTTTTATTAATGAAGGCAACTTCAATTAAACTTCAAATTAGAAGTAGCGTTAAATGATATATGGTACTGAAAAGCTGAAGAAATGGCAAAATATAAAACCAAAGAAATAGAAAGAAAAATGGATCCACATTTTAGTTACTGTGAAAACACTCATTTTCTCTGAAGTAAATGCAACTTTATAACTTATTTTATCCCTAAAAATGCTACAGGGTGAATTCTATCTAGATGAATAGCAGTTATTGCACAGATTATTTATTTCAAATGAATTGAAGTCTTCTCAGAACTTCACATATCCTTTCTTAGAAATGCAAGTCTTTCCATGAACCTCCCTCTGTCTTCTCCAAAGTAGAGTGCAGAAACCAGCACACCCGTTGTTCAATTAGCAGCAAAGTCTGGTACGAAGCTCATTATTATCGCGGAAGTAAAGGAAACAGTGGAACAGAAGGAAATGCTATGAAACACAGCTAGCAGAGCTCGTTGGAGGTGACACCATAATCACAAGGATATTAAGTGACCCATACATTTGTTTGCAGCTCATCATTTTGAAGGTTCAGTGCTGACTCACCACTGCACTGAACATAGGAATGAGTTAATAATTACACTCTTTCAGCCTCATCATCTCACTTACAGAGGGAAAACCATGAATAGCTTAGGTAGACTTAATAGAATGACTTTAATTTAAAAGACATTCTAACTGCAGGATTTTATTAGCTTTCCCTCTTCCCATTCGTATCTTTAGTGTGCAGACGATCACTGCTGCAGCTGACTGTAACCCACCGATTTTCTTCTTCCAGATCTGCAAGAATTCTCTCCAGTTCACCTCTTTCTTCGCTCTCCAGAGAAATCAAGATCTGGGCAGGGCTTCGGGGCTGGCTCAGGGGGGATTCCTGGTTCAGACTTTGGCAGTAGTGCTGGATTAACAAGTGTTCATCATCGCTGGAAAACAAAGGAGGATAAACCAGGCAGTTCTTAGACAGGAATTCACTGAACTCTTTGTAAAAAGCAGAGCAATATACCTCAAAACAAAATCCACTCAAATGTTCAACTTAGTCTACACCAATTTTCCCCTTCTGTAGAACTGACCTCTCTTTCCCTCTGCTTCTCACATATTTAAAGCATAGTTTGGCTGACAATCACAGCTTTCCTCTTTTGCCTAAGTGAGATTTGAAATCTGCTCGAGAAAAAATCTTATCCTGCCTGATCTATGTTCCACAAAGGTTATTGAAGAAAAGGAGAGGCATCTATTTTATATCAACTCATTTAATAAAGGCTTCCAAATACTTAGCTATTTTACCCTATAAACTTGTAAATGGAGTGAAATAAAAGAAATACTGACATAATAAAACAAAATTATGCCATTTCTCATTGAGGAGTTGCTTTTTTTTTTTTTTTTTTTTTTTCTTTTGGAATTACAAGTGATATACACTTTTACAAGTGATATACACTTTCAGAATATAAATATATTCTATTTAATATAAGTGAACAACTGCTTTATTTTATTGCCCCTGAAACTATCGGGCAATTGAAACAGAGAGTCTCTGGGAGAAAAAAGCAAACTGAGTTCTGAAGACCTTAACTATCTCAAAAAATTAAATGGATGTATTTTTCAGGCTCTAAGGAATGGCATTCAGGCCCTAGGCTATGCAGCTAACACCAGCAGTAACCAGCAGTAGCAGAAGCCATGACAGATAGCAACACCTCCAGCCAATCACGGAAAAAAACTACAGAGCTATTGTGAATCTTGCTTTTATGGTAATACTTACAACAAAGTATTTCAGTCTAGCTTTATTTTTTTTCTTGTTACCTTTGTAATTTAGAATTTCACTGACATTTGGAATAGCTGTTATGGCTCAAAATTCAGAATATTTCTTGTTGCATTTTATTACTGAAAATGTTAATGATGCCATTTTATAGACTGCAGGAGTGTTAAAGCAGTGCAGAGAACATTGCTATTAGTTCATAAATGAGAAATACTAAATTTTTCACAGGCATAATTTCTTGTTTTTAAACAAAATTTTAAAGGCTTGTCTATTTCTGAATTTGTAAGCAGCTTAAGCAAAATAACAGTGAAAAATGTTGCAGCATAATGCCATTTCCCAAGACACTGTCCTGTGTGATCTTTAACCTGTGTGCGTTTATGTATATAACTATGGTGGCAACACACACTGAAATATTTTGTACCTGTATATACAGGCATTTTCTCTTTTTCCCCCCAACCACATGTCCATATTTATGGCGTTCTAACTGCAATTTTAAGCCAAACACCATGAGAACATCAGCAAAGAACATCTACAGGGCATCAAACAAAACTCAGCCACACTTCTGAATTTACAGTGAGCTTTAATTTTACTGCAATTTAAATCTGGCTCTTATTTCTTCTAAAACACAGGATATTTATTCTAACTTTTACAGTACGAACAAGTAATGAAGAGGCTGGATAATCAGTGGTTATGTTATTAACTTAATCACATTAATACAGCTTTTATTAGCTAAAGAAGGAACTCATCAGTGAGACGAAGCTGTAATTAAAACAATACAGCTTATGTATGATTTTCTGACTACAGGCACTGAAATATTTTAATGACAATAACAGGAAAATATGTAATAATATGATGGCAACAATTCAAAAGTGACATTCAGTTTGGGAAACAAAGTTCTCATTAACTGGTTGAAACTACCCTGACACTGTGTAGGTGTTAGTTTTCACGTGTCAGTTTAACTTCCTGCTCTGGGAACCAACACTGTAAAACCCATGTACAGACAACGTATTTGGCTGTACACACAATCTCCTTTCAAAGTTAGTTGGCAGCAATCCTACCAAGCCAAAAGAGAAAGCATTTCAAAACACAGAAACAAGCTTTTTTATTACTATCTGTGAACACTTCACTGGCTCACAAACATCCTTACAAGTGATTTGGACTCTGAATTTATGAATGAAAATTGGCAGTACAACGCTTTAAAGGAACTCTTACTTATTAAGAAGATTCTGTCTGAATTTTCAGAGAAATCCTCAAGCTGGGGGAAGCATGAGATTAGTGTAGAAAAACAGATTTTTAAAAAAATATTTGAATGATTTGGAATTTGTGGCATGACTTCTACACAGTCAATTAACTAAGACCTAATTTTCAAGCACCACAGTGACTTCTGTACTTCTCTCCTGTGTTCAATCATACTACTCACAGTTCGTTTTCTGGTTCTATGCCACTTCATTCAGAGAGCAAATGAAATCAAGAAAACCATGACAAATCACGTTTGTAAACCACAAAAAGGTCTCAGTATGATGTCACACTGAACCATTCTTTAAAAGTTTCAGACTACGTTCCTTTAATTTTATATGTCTTTACATTTAAATTAGTAAACCAAGTGCTTGTTAATGATACGTCTAACTGAAAGGTTACTACTTCTAATATATTATGGTGAGGATGATTCCCTCATGGCTTACACCTGTAATATATTTCTGCTATTTACAGGTCAAATTTTTCTGCGCAGCCTCAACAGACTTTTGATTTACATTCTGCCCTTTCAGTAATTTAACACCATTAACTGCAGTTCAGATAAAAGGGATAACTTTTTAGTTTTTTCCTTAGAACACATTAGATGATGTACAATTTTTTTCCAAGTAATTTGGGAAGTATTTACTGAATATTTTTTTGAGAAAAATCAGTTATTTTATTTCGGAAGCATTAATCATCTGTTGCATAAATTCAGTATTAAAGCCATAAATCCGGACACTACTATACAAACTGAAAGAACAAGAGTTCATCATGAAATGGAACTGGGTGTGGTGCAGAGTACTGCAGAGTTTCATTACTAGTTATTAACCTTCACAAGAAAATTCATGTCAAAAATACTAAAATGACCTACTTACATGCTCTCATTAGGTGAAATACTGTCATTTAGGTAAGAACCATTGGTGTTCTCCATTTCTGCTAGCCTGTGGAAAAACAAACAGACTCATTAAAATAAATTATATTTCCCATAAACCTTGTTTGCTTTAACATTCCTGAAAGAGTTAAAGAGTGCGATGTTTTTGATGACTTATAGAATTTGAAACCCAGAGGAATTTATACTCTCTGTTGATTATCAAAAGGTTTTGCAATTAGCTATCATGAATAATTGCTTTTTCATTACAATGGCCTGGCTAAATTCACTTTTCATCTCTTCAGATTTTCAACTCTTTATCTGAGATTTTATTCAACTCATGACTAATTAATTCCACAGGAACAGAAAGGCCTTAAAGTGCCAGGGGACTACACAAATTGTTCCATACCTGGCAACGCCATCATCAGAACTGAAATGATTAGTCATTTCTCGTTGGTTTTCAACAGCTAGTCCCTCCTAAACATACTGCATAAATCCAAGAATTATCATATTATCAAATGATTTTGGGGGACAGAATGAGGAGGTTGCAATAACATTCGTTATCTCAAACCTTGCAAATTTGCTTCCTCAGTGGAGAAGCATGTTATTTTTCCTATCTGTGCAATTAACCCACTTTGTCGTTGTTAAGAGCTGTATGAAAGTGGAGAAGAGAACTGAAGCAGTGATATACCAATGATTTTTATCCTCCAAACCAAGGAAAGATCCTGTTTGTGGTAATCCATGTGGTGAATTACTTAACATTAAAATGGCAGTTGAGATTGCTGTAAAGTTTGGAGACTTCTGCTCTTCTGAATTGTATGATTACACCAGAGTAATTAAAGCCTGTGCAAACTGAGGGCGCAGCTTAACAAAGACCCCCCCCAGGGCCGTTTCTAAGCACACACACGCGCTGGCATGCAAGTTAGTGGGAGGCTGGTTAGTAGCAAAAATGAGTTATACCCTGCATCCCAGAGCCTGGAGAAGAAATCCCCAGACTCTACGTTTCTGTAAGACCCACTCAGGCAGCACGCAGCCTTTGGAATTTTTTAAATGATTGTTTAGAGAAAGATCTGCCTAACGTCCAGCTGGTCTCATACCTGCTAGCATAATGTTCAATGCGTGAATGAGTATCATCGTGTGAAAGCTGAGGGGACGAGGCAGGCCTATAAGGCAGAAAACACTGATTAATCACAAACAATACCCCCTTAAAAGTAAAAAGACACTTAGCTCCGTCTATGCCCTCACACCTCTATGCCTTACGCTTACACTGCGTTTGGCAAACAGCATGTTGTAACTGCGACCACGCACGGCGGGCACCTCCTCAAGCAGGCACGCCATGTTTTGTGGTACCGCACACAGCACTTTCACCCTTTGGCAATCCATCTGTTGCAGACTTCTCCTCACACAAACCCCCAAAAAATCATTTTCCAGAGGATGTGCAGATGAGCCCTTGCTCCCATTTTGCCCTTACACCTGCCTTCTCCTCCATGTGAAATTGCGCCTGGCCTGCTCTGAAGGCAGTGCTGTCAGTTGTCGCTGGGAGCCCTTCCTCTGCCTCCCCGCTGCCCACGCCACATCCCTAACACAGTGGAGGCACGTTCCACCTAGAAAAGCCTGCAAGAGCTACTCCATCAGCAGCCAGAAACATTAAATGGCTGAAACGAGCATTTAATAACAGACTGCTGAAAGTGATGAGTTTCGTCCAGTCTCGATCCTGGAGAACATCTTGGTCAGGACAATGTCACCTCAGCACTTCAGGAACAGATGTGCTTGCAGGAAGCACTCTGACTGACATGTGGGATTTTGCCTATCTGCATGTAGCAGGAGGTACACAAACAACAAAACATGATGCAGCTTTCCAGATATTACAGTAACCCCTTATTTTAGCTGAATCTGAATTTCCATCTCTTGCAACTCCTTTTAGAACTCCTGATCAATGAAGTGTCTTCCCTTCATGTTAAGTTGCTGGACAGTGTGGGTTGGGCTGGTTCTGCTCAACTGGCAGTACTCTACATCTCAAGTGCAGACAAAATCTGTTTTGTATTTACCGGTTATAAACCAGAACTAATAATCTCATGGTGCTTAATGGTTCTGTGCTAGGAGCTTGATCATCCTGCAGTAAAAGTGCTAAGAGATTATTATACTTCACTGGTCATTTTCCAGTTTCATAAACAGTCTGCAAAAGGCTTTAGAAATATTAGGACCTTTCAGAATTAATAGAATGATATGCACCATACAAAACCGCCAATGCCTCAAAGAAGGGCAAGGTTTTTCTCTTTAAGACATTAGAGGCCAAGCATTGTGAATCTCATTTTATCTGAAATGAGCTTTGGCCTCCAAATGTAATTTTTCCCACTACACATTCAAATAACAGTTCAGCATTTCTTGGTACAGCAGAGACTCATGCAGATGGACAACCACCTGCCTGCAACTTTGCATAGTATTCTCAAGAACATGTGGATCACCAAGCTAAAATATTAACTGTTTTCTGACAAACTGATGCGATCTTCATTTTTTGTCTGACAGGCAATACATATCCAGCTGACCTAAGCTGGTACTAACGATGAAAGAAGAGGTTTTGTTTTCCGTGCGTGCACAAATGCTGCTGCTAGTACTGTTCGTGGATTAGGAAACTTGTATTAGAAGGAACTTCAGTTTTGAACTGCATCATTCTCTGGTCCCTTTTACTACATGACTCCACAATTTTGTACCAGTAAAGGAAGATGGCAGCACTCGGCTGGGACCAACTGGGCAGTGGAGGAACAGAAGTGATGTGTCTGTCTTTTGGCAGTAGTACAAGGTAAAATCTTTGCTTGACTGCGTAACTGCATACTTGCTGCTTCAAAACTAAGCTTTACATTCAGAAGTGAACAAAGTGTGCAATATGCATTTTTCTTAAAGACAGCCCAGTGTAACGTGTTGGAGTTTTCTATGCCTCTCTGCAAACTTTGTAGGCATGGGATAAGTCTACATTTCCAAGTTTGCCTCCACTTCAGAACACACTGCAATGGAAATCTACCCCACTCAGATTTTAAAAAGTTTGCTTATTAAAGCAAACCTGCTGAGAAGCCCTGCAGTTTTCATGTTAAGTTTAGCAGCTCAGAGGGACACTGTTTCCATTACCTGAGCTGGCCTGTGAATAGCTGATAGCTGTGCTGCACTGAAGGCTATTGCAGACGCACTTTTAGATGACCATCTGTGCAAGCGCTCACTGGCCATACCTTCTGAACACATGTAATCAGCTCATGTAATCAGTCTGAACATTCAGTGAGAAGGTCGAGAAACACAGCCAATATTTAACCAAGATAGTCATTCCTTTTACAAGGGCTCCACAGCTGTATTTCTCAAGCTGGTGTCTGCAGCAATAGACTGAGGAATTCCATTCACGTCAAGTGGTAATCGAGCGGTAAACACCCCGTCCTGCAATTCCCTGCACTTGTGGAAATGTGGCCGACAGGAGGAGGGCATTTTTTGTGCTATCCAGCACTGCAGTTAATGGCTCTTGAAAGTGCAGAATCAAGTAAATTGTTTTTGTGCCACTAACAGTCCCCAATCCAAGTAAAAAGACATAAATTCTCATGAAAAGCTCTAAGCTGCCCCTTTAATGCTGGGCAAGCAGAATACATATGGGATAATAAGTGACCTTAATCACTTACTTGTATGAACACGCATAGATATGCATGTGCATGCTTATAAACAAATTCAGATATCATAACATATGTTGATGCCAGAATAGCATATAGATATATATGCTATATAATAGATATAGCGCTTTTGAATTTTGGTCAGGTTATGCTTTTCTGCAGCGCTCTGAAGACAACCAAAAAACTGGTATGAGAATACCAAAAAAAGGCAATGAAAACCAGAGTAGGATGTCTGCCTGCCAAAGCTGCAATGAGCCCTGTAACTGAAAAAATAGCTTTAAAGCTGGCTAGTTCAGTAACTTATGCTGTGACCCCAGTGGTCTAGCACTAAAGAAAGAACCAAAGCTAGCAGAACAAACAGCAACTCTTTCCAGCCTTTTTTTTTTTTTTTTTTTTTTAATTTCCTGGTTTCTTGTCAGACCAGAAAAAAGGACTGTTTTCAGGAAGACATCTGAGTTGATCTGATAAAAGTTGCTAGGTCTCTCTCCATCCAAATCATGTCTCTACGTACTTCCCAAGCTTTCTTAAATATTACATGCACATTAAGGTCCCTGTAGTAATCAACAGTAAATCTCAGGTGTGATGTTATCACAGCGTAGGCATACGTGAAGTTATTACTGTAAGTGAACTAGTGGCAGTGTGCCTTACAAATAAGCACGTTATGGCAGCTTAATTTCATGTTATGTCAGACACAGCAATGGCATTCCACACTATCCAAGCATTCTTTAAGTGGTTACTTCTACCTTTTCAATTGTTCCAAAGGGTAAGGAACCTACAGACAGAGTTTTATACACAGTATGCTGCAATCACCCCATATGCATTTATAAATGCAAATGCACCCTTAAAGTTCAAAGCCACACTATTTCAGTCTCAATTCAGCCCTCTGGCAGTTTTGTGGGTGGATCCTTAACCATATGTGGTTTGCAGAAATATACATTTCTTGCTTACACAAAATAAAATTCCTAGAGGATGAGCACTGCATTTGACTTCCCAATGGTCTGTGCTCCAAATGAAAACTATACATCAATATTCCAATGTATTCATTTCACTCTTGTTTATTCTACCAAAAATTCAATGAAGGTGCAAGCCATATACATTTCACCATATGGAAATATATAAAATTCTATTTATTAGTCTCATTATCAATATGTGAATTAAAAATAAACCTTATTTAACATTGTTCTGAAATCATCCATGTAACACTAGTAGCAGCAAATGCCACAACGGTAAAGATATATCTTCAGTTTACGAGAAGGGTGTTACTACAACAGTAAGATGATGCATGTGCAAGAATGATGCAAGAACAAAAATCCAATCCATATCTGAAAAACTCTGCTTTTTTTTAACTTCTGAAAAAATATACAGTGAACATTTCAACCTGCCTTCACAAACCGCATGTAAAAAAATTGCAGTAAAATGTCCAGTGAGTTTTGGATTAATTTGGGCGTGTGAGTATGCAGGTGTGCATGGTTGTGCATAAAACCAGATTATAGCTTTATCTACAAAACAGTATCATTCCTGAAATTGAATTAAATCCATTCGATTCATATCTGTCAAAAAGCATTTTGTATACACATAGAGGGATTGACACATTCAGAAACACAGCCTTTTAAATGACAAACACTCATAAGCATCAGTAAGAGTGTACCAAAATCCCTGTTAATTCCATGAAAATACATACTCCAGGAAGAGTATACAGAACACATTTCATGATTGCTGGAAGTTCCTGGATTTATCCCATTCTCCTCATCTGGGATCAAAACATTCCTTTAGAGAGTGTACCAAAGAAAATTATCATAAAGAAAGAAGGAAATGAACTTATGCAAAACTAAACAAAGAAATAAACAAAAAAGTGAGGGAACGCAGCAGCAGTAGCAGCAGCAGCACACTTCAGCAAAAGTACTCACGCAGAATCTACTGGCCAGAAGTTGATCAGAGTAACAGGACTGCAAGACAAAAAATGAGGAGGTGAAGAGAGAGGCAGAAGAAACTCAGCAGCAAAATAATTACAGAAAGATTAAAAAAAAAAATAAAATCACAACAACTGAAAAACAGAAATCCAATAGACCAACATGAATGACCATGGAGAGCAAAGAACCAAAAAGAGAAACAAAATATCTAAAATTAAAAAAAAGAGAGCGAGGACAAGCTGTGTGCAATTGCCTTTATCTTACAAACAAACAAAACAAAACAACCAAATAAACAAACAAACAAAAAAATCTAACAAGGGGGAATGGGTTACTCATCAGTTCTTCCATATATATTATTGCTCTTTTTTCCTCCAAAAACTGACTTCAAAGTCATTTAATAAGACTAAATTTATGCAGTGAGAAAAGAAGAAGCCAGTTGAAAAGCTTGCAAACATAGCAAACTAAATAAAAAAAAATACAGAAAAATACGTATTGGAAGGAAATAAAAATTTGATGAAGAGATCATTAGTTTCCGAGGTGCCATATCAAAACTAAACATCTACAAGGCTGTCAGACAGCATTTTTTTTTTTACTGACTGAAGTGGAAGTTCCTGTAAGGACAGGTATGCAAACATATAATAGGAACGGCAATTGGAACTCCAGCTTGTGTTTTCCTGCCAGCCATGGTTAACAAAAAATGAAAGAAAGAATGAGGCTTTATGCATGTAGGAAGTGAAGGGAGTTGGCACCAGCTGGGAAGCTCAAAGAGCATACCAAATACATTGCTACTTAGAAACTTTATAGCTACTCACGTTTCCATGTTGTCTCCCTCCAAGACAGTTTGTACAGGCAGGTAGCCCATTCGTGGGTGCTTTGCAAAATATCTTTTTGTTCGAAATTTGTTTTTTAGTACCTTGGCAAAGTCACGGACATCTTCTCCAGAAGTTGTCTGAAAGCCACAAATCACAATGAAATCATCTTTCATGACAGGTATTTACTTTTAGTTGCCCCTTTCTTTGCTGCGCCATACGAAGGAGCTGTGGCCACACCAAGCAGGGTTGCCAATGACTTGGCCTCCAGAACCACACAATTTATTTATCAATCACATCAAAATGTACTATAAAACAGCACAGCTAGAGGGGAGGAAGAAGGAAAGGGAAGCTCCGTAACCCATAACAGACTCATGCCTCTTCTCAGTTCATCTAAAGAGGACAAAAAGTAATTAAATGAGAATTTCCTCATGTGGCCTGGGACTCTCCACCTATTTCTCGTGCAGCACTGGAACGAGTGCAACAGAGGGCAATGGTTGGTCGGTGGGAGCTGCCACCTGTCTGACTGGCTGAAGCCTGACTCTTCCCGTATGCTCACTGCTTCCATCTCCTGCATCTGTCGGTCCATGAAAGCCAGGGCAATACTCCTGGCAGCTCTTCTTTGCAGTTTTCCTCCTCAATCTTTTCTGCCATTAATATTTTTATCAAAGAAAAACAAGAAGCAGGTGAGAGCTGCTGAAACTCTTACATCAGTTACTTCTTCTTGCATCTGTTAAATCTTAAGCTAAGAGGCATTTAAGACTGATAACCTGAGGAGAGTATAATTTACAGAAAGTTTTCTACTCCATTGCCTGCACTCAACCTCCTTTCTCCTACAGACACCAACAGAGGAGCACGAAGTGCAATTAGTTTCCTGAAGACCAGAATGAGTCAGAAAGAGTTCAAAGCATGTCTGCTGTGAAGACGTAACACTTCTTGCAAGCCTGATTAAGAGTCAGACAATTTTCTGAAGAATTTTAATGGAAGACTTCAGTTACATTAGTCAGGCTGCACTCCATCTTTACACCTCACAGAGAAGCTTGACCCTGAAATACTGCTTTTCTACAGTAAATTAAGTTCATCCTGACCCACATAACGATATCACTTCTCCAGTGTATCTAATTTGAAGGAAAGAAATGAGGGAAAGTTAATCTTCCTGACATTTTTTAATGAGTTCTATGCCTTCCATTTCAGAAAGGAAGGAGGCGCTGGAATCCATCAGTCAAGCCCACTTTTGTGAAGCTGCTGATACACAGATGTATGTATTTTTAATGATTGCTCAGGTAGAAAAATTAAGCATGCTCTAAAAAATAATTTGCAGAAAGACTGAGATGCAGTAACAGAAAGGAATGTTCTTCCCATCCTGAAGATACCTACAAGCTTCATGTAAAGCAGGAAAGAATTTGACTCTCTTTCCAAACAATCTTGTATGAAAATTCAGTGTGATCAATGACTGGCAGAGAAATAATACATCAGAACTGACAAGCCAGTACACCAGCATTTGTATTTCCAAGAAACTATGATAACACTCAGCAGTATTTCAATAAACTTGAATTAAAGAAAGGGAGAGATTAAGTACATCTAGACCAGTCAGAGGACTCTGGAAAGGGCATTTACTGATGTGGCCCACAGTAGGAGGGAATACCCTCTCCTGAACACAAGCTGCAATCCTACAGTGAGAATCCTTAATGAGGTAAGCATCATGAGACCAGTTAGAGAAATTCAGCTGGGAATTCTTCTGATATCTAGTCTTGGTACGAACAAATTAAACACAGCTTTCTGTTCCTTTTGCTGACTTGTATCATTTATAAACATTTATTCCTGCTTTGCCTATTTTTAGCGTATATTTTTGATGTGTATACTTTCAACTGCATTTGATTATAATTTGATTGTGTTTTTATGCACAATGAGTAATAAAACATTCTTTGCTTCAACCTTCCTGAGACATGTTATCTCTCCTGAACTCATCACATGACAGCCAAGCAGCAGAACAGTGTGTTTGCATGGAAACATTCTGATCTAGTCTGAAAGCTGGTATCACACACATCCCAAGAAGAAAGCACGTCTTTCAGTGACAACTTGAAATACCAGGCATCTCTCCTATGATCCAGTTTCAATGTCGAAAATGTTCAAGGAGCACAGGAATAGCAAAAAAAATATGATTACCACATGAACAAGCTGACAGACTGAAGCTATTTTAACCCAGACTTCCTGATTTATTCCATAGAAGTTTTACACCACACAATTTTCAGAATGGAAAACCAAATTCACAGCAGAATGGGTTTACAAGGAAGAAACAGTGGAATTTTCTGTCCATTACTTTTAGCACTCTATTTCTCTTAAATCAAAGCAGCATACAGGCAGCTGGGTTTAGCATGTTGCAAAATTATTCCAAAACAAAAACTATTTCTTGACAAAAGCAGAACTTACAACCATCTTACTTTTTGCAGTTTGGTTTAATAAAGTGTCTTCTCAACCCCTCACTCCAGACCTCAGCCCCAGTTTTAAACATTAGCTGTAGAAAATTATCTCAGTTTGATATGCTTAATTCTATCAAGGCAATTTTTTTGTGTGTGCAGGTGTTGATCCCAAAAAGAAATACGATCCTACATTTAAATCTCAGTCTTGAAGAATGCTTCTACTCATTATTTATTTGAAACCTTTTTAAAAGTCACCTCTCTCTGAACAAGACATCCAGCTGTGTTGCTTACAGGACTAATTGTTGCAGTTCTTCTGCCTAAAAGAAAACTAAGGCCTTTGCCTCAATCTGCCTCAACCTTTTGCAGTAAGGGAGAACCTGGACATTCTACATGAGTTCTCAAATTCCCCTCCAGGAGAACTAAGGGCTGCTGTGCTCCAAAATTTCCTGGAAGTTCTCTGCCAAAGTGCAATCTAAGGTGAGAGATCTGTCTGAAGGAAGGGGAAAAAGTGCTTTGTCATCCGCAAAACTCTTTTCATTTCATTTTGAAAACAGTTACACTAGACATGATAGTTTCAGTGGATATCTTGTTCAGTCATGCAGTACTTAGGTTTACTTTGTCAATAGCTGCAGCACAAAAAAGATCAGTGCTTACTATGTGTCACATTCACTTTTTTGCCCCAGTTAATCCTACTCTAATTCAGCTCACCGCTGGTACAGGCAGGCACGGCACATTAGCACTGGCTGTCAGAGTTCAGAACTCACCAAAAATTTACTGTCTTTAAATGCTTCTTTATTCTGATTCAGCAATCTGGATGCTGTTACAAGTTCTCCTTGGGCCTGTCAGTAACCTCCACTGTCAGGGAGAAGAGGAACCTGCTGGATGCTGTCTGCGTTGCAGTGAATTGCTTCAGGCTGTGGGAGCGTCTCACCACGCCATTTCATTTCTCTCTATTCACACCTTCCTAGAAACACACCTTATGAACAGGTAAGAAAATAGCAGCGAGATGTTGTTCTGTGCATTCCCTGAACTCCTTACAGTCTTCCACAATGCCTCTTAACAAGAATAAGAGTGGCAAACCACAGAACAAACCAGTAGCTGACTCAGCAAGAATGCACTCAGCTCAACTGGAAGGAGTGCTGTGGGCAGTTCTGCTGCAGGAACGCCTGACGTGGAGAGGTCTGTTCAGACTCGTCTCACCATTGCTAAGGTTTCCCTCCGACCTGTGCAGCAGCTCAGGCAACTCACCCCCTCCCATTAAGTTCAACCCACAGGGAAAGATGTTGAGAAGCATCAGCCAGTGAATGCTGATGAAAAGTGAGCAGAAACACGCTGGTTTCCCCTTAGACATGTGGATTAAATTGTGCTGTTTGAATGCTATGGTAAAAGTTTATAATGTAAAACACCCATAAATTAAAACTAAATTGAAGTACTGTATTTGCTCTACTACGATATTTTAGGTGAAAATTTCTTCTCTGTCTTTCCTCACTTTCTAAGAAAAGCTAAAAGTCTGCTTCATTTTGGCAAAGCCTTTTTGTTTGATTTAAGATGTAAAAATTGTTCACATAGCTAGCCTACACTTAATTTTAATGCTTTATTTTCACCATTTACACTTGACAAAAGTACAAGATTAATGACTATCCCATAACATTAGGAAAAGAATCCATAATGTGGAATGCTTCAGGACTACCACACAGAATAGCAAAGGCAGCTGACAGTTCAGGTATGCTGTACTGTGAAAGGACAGCTTGAGAGCTCCTCTAATTTATGGCCCTCTGCCAGTGTCATGTGAGGTCAGAAAGAGAGGGACATGCTAAGAGGGTAGTATGGAGTTTTCTTTACCAGCTGCTTTGAATGAAAGAAACATTTATGCAAAAGTGATGCTTTTGCGTAAGGGAAGGCAGAAAAACTCCTTTACAGAAAGGGCTGTTAAGGACTGGAATAGGCTCCCCAGGGAGGTGGTTGAGTCACCATCCCCGGATGTGTTTAAAAACCATTTGGATGTGGTGCTCAGGGACATGATTAATGGAGGGTTGTTAGAGTTAGGGTAGTATGGTCAGGTTGTGGTTGGACTCGATGATCTTTAAGGTCTTTTTCAACCTGAGCTATTCTGTGATTCTATGACTCTGTTCTGCACTGAACAGCACTTCCAGTCTTCAGAAATGAAACCTCATTTGCTACTCTAAAAAACTTCCCTGATATGTTGTATTCTCCAGACAATATAAAATAAAAAAGTACTACTAAATAGTAAAGAATTTAAAGATGCAGTTGTAGTGTTGTCGGAAAAACAAGTACGAACCTCCTGGGGAAAGGAAAAGAAGCACAGGGATAGGAAGAAAACATTATGACTAAGACAGAAACACGCTTGTGCAAACCACAGCCTTCTTGATACATACATGGATGGCACTGAACATGGAGCAGCTCATCAGCATGCAATAACATACTACTATAGAGCACTGTACAAACAATGATACTTCAATTTACCTCCAACTACTGGACTCTATTTTTATTAAGCATTAGAAACTGTTGCAATGTACAGATTACAGAAGGCAATTTCATTACAGGGGGAAAACACCACCCAAATGCTCTATTACCCTGAACACAGCAAATGAAGCTTTTCCTTTCTACTTAACCATGAGCAGTAAGGGTCAGTAAAAGGGTTAGTAAAACAGCTACTTACTGGTGTGCAGTACTCCACCATGGGATAGTGCATTTTGTGACCTTTTGCAACACGGCCAGAGAAGAAGCAACTTTGGCAGATGTCATAGTTAAAGTGCTTTAAGCTTCTGTACCTAAAAGAGGGGGAAAAAACACGGCTTCAGTGCTTAGTATATGAATACTTCATGTCAGCCTTTGGAGCTTTCTAAGTTATTAGTTGCTTTTCCCTGAGATGTCCCACAGCGCACATTACAGGACAGGGCCTGTTTGAGGGGCAGGATTGCTGCCTCAAACCAACAAAGTGGACATGCTTAGCAAAGAATTTTCAAAAAGAATCCCTCTGTGTCACAAAATTTCTAACAGTGGGCAATGCTGAAGAGTTCTGACTACAAATCTCTCTCTCTCGTAACACACAAAACAGAGCACCAAGATTTTTGTTTCTATAATGCTAATTTCAGTCCCTTTGGTCTGTGACATGACACGAAACACAGAATTTCTTAAGCAAATAGAGTTCACAGAAGTAATGCCTTCCTCAACATGTACCATCAGCAAGCCCTTCAGTGCTGATTGGAGGTAAGGATTTGTTCACGCTCCAGCATCTTCGTCAAAATATAATTTTTATGTATAGAATGCCATCCATGCAAAAATCTGAATGCACTTTTAGGCCATTATTTAATCTCATCAGTTTTATGAGACAGCTAACTTGTATCCGCTGCGCTGAAGTGCTTGAAAGAGCCAGAGGCATAAGGGTTTTCTTGTTCCAAATACGCTAAGCAGTTCTGTCACAATAACCTCAAAAGAACATTGTTTTACTGTACTGAGGCTCACAGTATTAACTTTCTAAAAGCTGTCCAACACAATGTCTTTTTGTCGAGTCTGTAAACAGGGTCTCAAAGACTTGCAAAGGCAGAGAAAAAAATCTCCGACAGATTTGACTATCGTAATAGAATTGTTATATAAATTTAAGGGGCAGATGAGATCAGGGAAATCAGGAAACACAGAGCTCCAGTGTCCACCCTCCACATTTCTGATGCTAAGTAACTACACACTATTCATTCAATTGGTATCCTTTGATTTTTGAAGTGCTGCATTTTCCAATTCCATCCACTTGTCTCCAGCTGTTTATATAAATTGTGAGAGTAATTCAGTAGTTTCATGAACTGCCTCTGGAATAGGAAGCTTTTTCTTTGTGACTGTGTTGAACTCATCACAACCCATCCCTAGCTCTTCTTCAGTAATACTTATCATTCTCCAGTTTCAAAAACCAAGAAGAATAAAAGCAGGGGATGAGTTTACAAGACGTGACAAATGGCTCAACTGAAGAAAAACCCAGACTCAACAAAGCAGAACTATTTCCCTTGCTTCTCACTGCCTGTACAACTGTATACGAGAAAGGGCTACCCCATTATAAGTATAAAAAAACCTCACTCATATTCTCACATGCTAGGGTGAAATGATGGCTTTTCTATGTGGTATTGCTTGTTGCTGTTCAACACCTTGGTTTTAGAACTAAAATTATAAAAAGGTCTTTGTAAACATCAGGATACTATGGAAGGAAAAATGCCAAAAGTAAAAGAAGATCAGGAACAAGGACAGAAACTATACAAAGCAGCTATTAGGAAGAGAAGTGATAAAACAAGTCTAGGCATAATTGAAAGTGAGTATTTACTTAGCTGTGAAGTGGATTCTTGACAAGCATACCAGCACACGGCCATTTTACAACACATTGACTTATTCATTGCTATAGTAACCACAGTGTTGATCCAGATGGTTAAATAGATTAGCAACATGTCCAGCATACTAGTTAATATCCCACTAACCACATTCCTTCTCTGTAAAATCCACACTATCTTTACGTCTGGAAAATTTTAAGTCGTTCCTTGCTTTATGCTATGATAGAAAGCAGTTCGTTAGGACCCAATTCTGAAAATAAAGCTGCATGTATAAGAAACTGAATCTAAAGCAAATCATGTTAGTGGCTGAGGCACAGAAAGACTCGAAGGGCAGAATACAGAGGAGGGATGTTATCTTAACCAGTAAATGATTTTTGTTATCTTCAGCTTTTGCACCACTGAACCCAGTCTAAGTGTTACTCTCCCTCACGCCCCATCAAAACCCTCTTTAACTTCAACAACACACGGAAAATCAGGGACATATCTTGCCTGGGAACAAGCAGAGCTACCTATACATCAAGCAGTGGTACACAAGGTAGAGAGGAAATTAGTTTGTACCTGAATCCAATAATGGGGCACTCCTTGCAGATGTTACACTTTGCTTGGTGTTTGGCAGTTTCTGCAGCAGCCACCCTATGCAGCACGGGCAGCCACACCATGGATTGTGGTTCCAGTCTCATCCAGTCCAGGAACAAGGCTGCTTCGATCTCGGGCTTGTTATTTGCCTGAAGCAGAGGAGAAGGAAGACAAGGGTTCAGCAGAAGTGATTAGTGTACCATCAGCTAATTAACAGTTCAAGTCACTGTTCTCCTACAAGCTCTGCATCCTTTCTCCAAGTTCAGTTTTTCCCTCTGTTCACCCATCCCCCAGAAAACCAAGCAACCTTCAGGATACTGCCCTGAAAACAGGAACCAAACACTTTTAATGTTTCCAATCTCGCTTTCTCTCATTCTCTCTTATAATAGACAGCACTGCTATGTACTCTGTCACAACAAAAATCATCCACTTACAACACCTGGCATTAAAGATAATCTTGTGCCTCCTCTATCTCTTATCTGTACTTCCGTAGCACTCCTCATTTTAACAAACACTGTGTTATCCAACCCCTAAAAATTGCATGTCTTTCTATCAAAATTCCTTTAACACTCTTCGTTGTCATACTGATCTTTCTCCAAAATGCATATATAAGGAAATCATTTGAAGTCCTTCTCAAGCCTGCTGTTGAACATACGAACTTCACCTCCTTAAAAGCCTCACAGTCCCTCTTCCCACCAAATCAACATTAAGTTCCTTGCCACTGCCTGAAAACACAATGCAGCTCTGTCCCACAGAACATGATGCTTTTAGTCTTGTATTCCAATACCTCCTTCTTTTGTCTCTTCGCCAAGAGCAAAACACTCCATTCAAACCTTGCAGCAGCCCTATTTCTCTGTTTTGTTCCCATCATATCCTAAGTAGGGCAATTATTTTATGTATCTGTTGAACAGTAACTCCAAGGAACAAAACAGACTTCCACTGCACCTGGCACTGTGCAAACACCAAAACCATGCATAGTCCCTTCTTCTCAGCACATAGAGCATGGAACAAGGAATAGTAAACAGACTAGAAACACAAAGCAATGGAGCAAAAAAGATCAGCACAAGCAGAGGTCACACCACTGCAGACAACACTGAGGAACAGAGTCAAACAGTTTCAGAAGGAATTTAAAAGAAAACAGTGAAATGAGTGTGAATTTCTATGGGAAAATTCACTCCACAGTGTAGGACTGAACAGAACAAGCACAGAACTTGTTATCTGAGAATCAGGAGCCTGGTTTCAGCCCTGAAAGAGATGATGGATCAGGTGGAAATAGCAAAGGGCTCCCTCCAACAGGAAGACACGAGGGAGGAAGAAGAGCCTACGCAGAGGACAGCAACCGTGATGAAGTAGGACACCATCCCACTCCATTTCTGTAAACCACTTTAAGGTGTCATCTCAAATTCCTCAAGACAGATCCTTCCATCCTTCCAACAGAAACTGTGTATTTACAAACTAAATATGTTTTAATTTTCCGGATTCCTTTTTTTTTTTTTCCTCTGGGCATTTAAACACAGTCTTTTGTGATCCAATCCTTTAGATTTTAAGTTTCACAGGGCAAAGACTTAATTTGTGGTTTCAAATCTATTTGAAGCACTTCAATAAACAGTAAGCATTAACGTATCGTGTACGTGGACCACAGTGAACAGGGGATTGAGCATTGTTTTCTTTTTAATGCTTGCTCTGTTACTTTTACAATTTCTCATGAAACATGACCTTAGTATGACCTATCTGAATCCTTCAGGTTTTGTTCAACTGAAGAACAATTGTAACAACGAAGTTTGGGAAAATTTTACACTGCAGATCTAAACAGAAGAAAGCTATAAGAAAAATCAATTAAGGTGTTTTTTTTGTGCATTTATTTTTTTTTAAAGTTAACACTGTTTATAGTCTTTACAAATTAATTAACTGATCAATACTTTCAGAAGGAGAAAAATGCTAAGTCTCAAGGACCAAACTCCTGACCACAAGAAAAAAATGAAAAAACATAGACTGTCTCCTGAATAACAGATTGCATTCACAGACTTAAAATGCTGCTGCAATATTTTAATTAGAAATATATACATATATATTGTCAGGGTTTTCTTACTGGCATGCCAACATATCTACAGTTATTCAGGCAAAGTCCCTCAATGTTCTTCCCCAAAAAACCCCAGCATCAAAAACAGAGAAAAACAAAACAGTACAGTGAAATCCAGGTAACAGTGGCAACAGAATTTTTTCAGAGGAGTGAATACCACTTTCCACCGAAGGACATCAATGAATTCAAGAAAATAAAATTAGTTCTAGAAGTCTCTTAAGAGAAAGAGGTATTCATGAAATATAATAATTTATATGCCTGCTTCCAGTTGGCAGCTACAGAAATAAAGGGGCAGGGGAGTGATTTTCTGCAGCTCATTCAGCAAGTCAGCATCCACCAGAACTACACTGGCAAATCTTTCCTCTGCCTGGCAAGCTACACTTAAAACGCAAAGGTCCTCTAAATCTCTAATATTTTACGAGTATCTCTTTAATATTCCATTTCTAATAGGAAAACATGAAGTGTGTTGAAATGCTGCAATGCAAGCTGCAGACGGAATAAAAATGAGCAGTTCAAAGCACTACTCTATACTTGTAGTTGCCTTAAATTTGCAGAGAAAAAATGCTGCAGTGATGATAGACTTTCTGTAACTTTCAAAGATCTCTTTAATTTTGCAGTCACTGCCGATTGCCAGCAAGCCCAATAGTTGCCTACCCAGGGCTCCACACCCCGGATGTACAAAACTTGTGCTCAGAGAGATTAGGAGCATTAAAATGTATCAGAACTGGTTCCAAATTATGCTGCATGAAGATTTAAAGACATGTGGAGAAAGCTGGTCAGGGTCAGATGGTAGAGGACAGGCAGTTCCCAACTGTTCCCTGAGCTGCTATTACAATTTTTTTAATAATCTCTAAATCCAGTAAAGGCAGCAGCTGACGATTTTACATAAGGGAAAGTCTGAATTCATTCAGTACGTATCTGAACCAACAAGAGTGAGCTGTAAAGAATATTAATGGTTCTTCTCTTGAACACATTTCAGTGGAACTCCCAATTTTTTATGGTAATAACAGAGTGAATCATAAAATAAAATTCATAAAGCCCTTTCCAGCTTACACGTAACAATTTGTTACGGGGTACATTCAAATTCGTCATATTCCACACATCTGTTTTTCAGTATTTATTCTGCAGAAACAAAGGGGAAACAAAGAGTTTGCACGGTGTTGGCATCTTTATGTAACGCTTAGGAGTCAGATGTTTTTAGTTTTTTCAATTTCCTTCTTATATTCCAGCTAGTACATTCAAAATTACCCTGCACTGTATGAACTTCATCTATGCACATTGAAAAATATGGTCCAAAATAGAGTCATGATGTTACATGAAAAATGCAGTATGTTTTCAGACAGTCATATAACATAGCATCAATTTCTGATAACATTTTTGAGGAATTATATTCTGCATAGCTGCAGGGCAAGGAACTAACCAGAAATAATTTAATGTTATTAATTTAATAGTATTTTCCATAAAGGATGAAAAGCTTTACATTAATGTAACTACTACTTTGGACAAACTCAAACTGAGGAATGGGATTCCTGTGATTTGTTAAAGCTTAAAAATGCAGAGCAAGCCATAAACAGAAGCCCTGTCTTCCAGAGCCTAGAGTTAGATTAAACCCCGCTGAACCTCATCTTCCACCCTTGAACAGCTTCCCCAAAACGTTTGTGTTCTCCCCACTGCCAGCTGGCAAGAAAACACAAGTCAAGAGCTCATAGTTTCTGAGACTAGAACTAGTTCATAGGCAACAAAGGGAGGATTATTACAAAGGTAACATAGGGTGATGCAAAATGCTTAAATCTGGCTGACTCTTGGAGTGAATGCTTAAGATCATTTATTTAATCCTTTATATTACACTTACTCCACTCCACTCAGTGTTTTTAGGGTTGTGGTTAAGACTAATAGAGCAAAAAAAAAGAAAAAAAAAAAAAAAAAAAAAAAACAACAAACCAAGAATGCAGCAGTGCCTTAGTTTCAGCTTTGTATCATGTACACTTAAAAATCTTCTTACTCTTTGCCTCTCAAATCACTTTAAAATAACTCTTTGAACCAGTTCTCTTGTAGGACTCTTCAAGATTGCCTCCCAAAGTCAAGCACAGGTTCACAAAATCCTACTGAAATAAAACCAGAACTGCTGTTCTCTGACACAGTGTACCAGCTTGAGGAAGGAGATTTGCTAGTTCCCTGTAGGCCAGTTCTTCTGTGTCAGAGCCAAAAGCAGAAAAAAAATCCTACAAATAGAAACTAGGGCTGTCTGAATCTCAAGAGATTGAGTCTCTCAACAGCAACACTGCATCTGTCCATTATTTCCACACAGACCTGCACACAACTATACAAAGTTAATTGAACACGTTACTGATATTTCCTCGATATTAAAAAAATAAATGAATAGAAACAGGAGTAGTTAAAAATGCAGCCCTCATAAAACAACTGTCCAACCAATTCAAATCAGTGCACATATTGCTAATCCCATTGGCAGTGTCCTGGCCAGGGTTTGGACTTCACAAACTCCTTCTAAAAGAGGTAACGGGCCCCTATTTTGACTTTTATTTGTCTGAGTAAATACACTGTATTCAGACACCCAGTTAAGTGGTTGTAAAAACTTCACTGCCTACTGTTGATCTTCACTGATTGAAAGCAAACCCAGAAATTAAGACTATGCAACAGAATATTAAAATAATTTAATCCGTCAAAATGAAAAGAAACAAGGTCTGAAATACAGATATTAACTGCTCCTTAGCACCACCTCTACCAGTTTTTTTATATAAAGCACTCTATTTTGAGTACACCCTTGGAAAAAATATACAATGGCTTAGAGCTAAGAACCAAATATCGAGCAGGGGACACTTTCATCTGTCTCTGTTTTCATCTCACATTTCTTCTGTCTCCCAGTGTCTCAGTAAAGCACACAAGGTGGTGATGTGAATACCTAGCCCTCTCTCTGCTACACAAGGAATCATTTAATAGTTTTAGACTGTGATAAAAACAATGCTTTTGTCCCTTAACCAATAAAAATTCACTATCCTACTTACTTAACAAACATAGCCATCACTGATCTAGAAGTCAAGTGCTTTCACCCCACGGTAATACTGAACTCCCTCAATTTTGTTACAGATCTATGCAGTACTTGTACACAGTCTGTACCCAGGCAGAAATACATACTCCTCAAATGGTCCTTACAAACTCACACTCTCACCAAAAACACTTTCTCCAAAATCACACAACATACACTGCACCCCATCTCTAAAGCCTGGTGACTGCCCTGCCCTCCCCAAGTGCTCCCAAGGACTCAAACTTCAGATCCTAACGTGTGGAGGTCTCCCCAGCTATGGCTGAAGAGAAAACATCCCCTTTTCCTCCGACATCCCCTTCTCCTCTGCTGCTGTCCATGCCAGAAGAAGCTGTTGCCACGGCACCCAACCCAAGGGGCATGGGAATTCAGAGGGAATTCTGAAGTGCATTTCTGCCACAGACTCTGACGTGACTGCAATTTATTGCCAGCTTATCAACACCAGAACAACAAAATCGGACTAAAAATCTAAGAAGACATTCCTCATTGTGGATGAGCAGAGAAAGATTTAAATTAGTTCAGATACAGTAATGTGAACCTATTTTTAAAACCTGAATTATCTCACTCAAGTGAAGAAGGAAAGGGGCGGAAGATGGCTGTGTGAGAAGGGCTATGAGGTTATGCATGGTGCGCCTGAAGCACCACAGCTCAGGACCAGGAAATCCAGAAGCGGAAAGCCCTGAAAAGCTATGCCTGCACCTTCCTTGTGTTCATTTTCCCCTCCCAGCAAAGGAAGCTGAGTGTGTATCAGCAGACAGAAAGAGGGACCAGCCAGGAGAGGTGGCAGGCCAGGTCCCTGCGGACTGAGGTGTCGGCCCCACTGGCAGCTTGCACAGCTCTCCTCGGCTACTTAGCCCCCACACTGCTCCCTCTCAGGAGCTCCCTACTCCAGGCACAGCTGCTTCACAGCATCTCCTACACAGAAAGCATTTCACTGCAGTCCTCTCCTCTCCACCTGGAAATGTCACACCTCTCCCCATTTCTACTCTTGGCTGCTTTTTTCATGTCTCATCCTAACCTGCCATTCAGTCTCCTTTGTTACCATTATTTGTGCTGTCATTCTTACTGTCACTCCCATTAGGTGGCCCTTCAACTTGGCCTTTACTTTTCCACTTCTTGGTTCCTTCTCCCTCCCTATGCTCCTTTCCTTTGGACTCTACCTGTCCCCCTATTTTCCCTCTTTTCCCTCTCAAGCCTTCTTAGCAGACTGCCTTTGCTGCTGCAAACCAGGCCAGAAACCACCCTTCCACTCTGCAAGTCAAAACCCAGGCTTCATCTGTAGGAGGAAGAGGGTGCAATTCCTTTTAATGCAGATAAAAGCAAACTTGTTTTTAGTGGAGGTAAGAGGAGAAAATCTCAGGTTTTCCAGCATTCTGATTTATGTCCATGTGGAAGTTCAGCTGTACTTCTAGAAACGCTGGCAACCACATGCAATGCTGCATTTAGCCAGTTGGCTTTTCTTCAGTTGTTGTAAGACAATTTTGCTATCCCATTTTATTCAAATAATCATTTACTCCAAGTCTTCCTTCTGTTTTATAAACAATGGTTTTTGTGTGTCTCACCAATACAAATTGTATTGTTTTCTTCCTAATATAAACACAGATTGTCAACTCTTTTACAGAAAAGCATCATTTTCTTGTTAGATTACAAGGTCACTTTCTTCATCAGTTTTTCAATGCCATTTTTTAAGTGTGGTTACTGTTCTCTTGGGAAAACAATAAGATGTGGTAATTCCTAATTTCCTAGGAAGGTCACTTGCTCAAAACAGCTTTTGACATACAGACTCTCATTGTGGATTTGCTCCAGCACCATTCTGCAGTGGTCTCATCTGAAAGCCTCATGAAGAACTCTTTTCAGAAGCCTTGAAAGCTGTAACACGATTTAACCTACCTGTCAAAGCTACTATGCATAGTAAATCAGCTTGAGTTATTCACCTGGAATACAGCCCTAAAATGTATTAATATGGAAATGAAAAAATATGAATCCTATAGAATCAGACAAAAGAAATTTGGAAAAAAAAAAAGTGAATATCCCATCACAACTCAAAGCTCCTGTCCATTTTAGAATTAGATTGTATCTGTAGTCACTGTCTGTAAGAAGATTACTATCAACTATTAATATTCATTGAAAAAAAAATTGCAGAACTACTACCTAATGAAATTTGAGCAGTAGGCAAAGCAACAAGCAAAAAAAATCCCCTGCCCCCATCCAACCAAAGAAAATCCCCAAGGGACAGTTACAGAATTGAACAAAGTTGTTTCCTTTACTGTGATGCAGAAGATGCACAAAGACCATACATTACCTCCCATCTTCTACCTTTTCATTAAGTAGCTGTCTTACTCTTTTGCATTTTCCTGTTAGTTAGCAAAAAGATGAATAATTCCCTTAACTCTCTTCCTTCTCAGATTAAATGATTTACAAGAGTGAAAAAGAGCCTGGAGTTGGCTATATACTCCTCAACGGATAAGGCAGAAATTCTTTCAGAATTCTGTTAGAATGAAAAGCTGCATTACCCATTCAGACAATGAAAAAACCTCATCAGGAGCTCCTAGAAAGCACTTCAGTCAGTCATATTTTCACATCCCCCTACTGAGCACACAGCTCCCATTGGCATGTATATGCACAAAAATTAGTTTAATCGATGCTGTTCATCTATATGGTGAAATAAATGGTGATCTACTGCTGGCAGAAGAAAATTATAAAGGCAGGAACTGCCACAGCAAAGACTTCCACTGCCTGCAGGATTCAGTTATGATACAGGCCCTGATGACAATTACTTGCTCTCCAGATGACAACATAAGCTTTAAGAACGAGACTAGATGGGGTTTTGAGCAACCTGCTCTAGTAGGAGGTGTCTCTGTCATCACACGGCAGTTGGAAGAAGATGACCCTTAAAGTCTTACCAATCCAAACCATTCTATGTTTCTGTGCTAACTGAGGCTTCTTCCATCACCACCTCATTTCTAGTGAAGACAGTGCCTACAAAGAAGCAGTGTAAGTCATAGACAACTTGTCAAATAAATAAATCAGTGAATTCCATTAAGCAAATCCTCAGTATCTTAATCCTCCAGATGTTCTGTCCTCTTCAATATGGGAAGGCTAGCTGGAAAGGAGACATCTAATAGAACATTAATGGAGATCGAAGATGAACTTACAAACTGGAAGCAGCTTCTGACACTTGGCTCGATGTTGCTGCCCCCAAACGAAGCGACCTCCCCCAGCTGTCGAGGGATCTGGATGGAGTCGTGTAGCAGTAGTCCCAGCCGGCGCTGGTCACAGAAGCCAGTGGAGCTCGCCACCTGCTTGAACAGGTCTGGAAAAACATAAAGGACACCGAAGCTGAAACACCACAATGGGGAAACACAGGATAGGGATGAAAAGGGATAAATGGCCTTGATGGACACAAACACAAATGTATCTGTAGTTTGGCTGCTTTGCTTCTCACAAACATTGCTTCTGTTAAGTAAGTGTTGATTTTTAGTAGCAATATTCATTTGTACCAGTGAAAAAAGGCCAATCTATCACAGCGCCTGTGTCATTACTGACAAGAGCAGCTGTGATTCTGCAATAGAGCCAGCTAAACATCAGGACCTTTGATTCAGAACAGTGTAAAAGTTCTAGAAATAATCAGCTCTTAGAAATAAATGTACAACTCAGAATCCAAGCATCTTTCAGATGAGTTGATCTGAAATACAAGAACTCCTAACTTTAGTATAAGATAATCTTTTAATGCAGGTATATTTCTAAAATGAAAGAAAAACATCACAGTATGACAGAACCTGGCATGCACTGGTACATTAGTATGTACCTGTACATTAGTATCATACTGAGTTCTCATTTTTGAAGTGAAATGTCACCTTAAGTCATGTGCTATTACTGCATCATGCTAGAAAATGATCTTTACAGGATAGAATTATCCTTTCATAAGCCAAATTTAATTTAGCGGGAATTAGTTATACTATGTATATTATGAGGATGTTTTAGAGTTTGTAATGAGAAAAATCACGTTAGCATTAGCTGAAATATTTATTTGGTCGTATCCCAGATGACAATACATGACTTGAATAAGTTCTGCTTATTTTTCAAAGAAAGAAAGAGAGAAAGAAAGAACAATAGGAAGGAAAGAGCAAGCAAGGAAGGAATCACTAGAAAAAAAGAAATCCTTTTTCTGTAGCCTTAACATATCACCTGACAAGAGAGAGAGATACAGTCACAAAGGTGATTCAGCACTGTTCAAGATAACTTTCCCAGAGTAGCAATGACAGCCATTTTCTTCCAAAAGAGTAAAGGAATGGATAGAGGAAAGATTACTTTTAATTACACATTTCACTTTTGCCAAGACTAGTTTTATGACACATAATTTGGGGAGAAATTCTTCCCCATAACCTCTGCAAGTCAAAAGAATTCTGTTCTTTAAGAACCAACACTGCTCTGCTACACAAATGTTGGAATCATAGAATCATAGAATTGCCTGGATTGAACCACCCATGACCACAATGATCACCTAGTTTCAATCCTCCTGCTATGTGCAGGGTTACCAGCCACCACACCAGGCTGCCCAGAGCCACATCCAGCCTGGCCTTGAATGCCTCCAAGGATGGGCATCCACAGCCTCCTCGGGCAAATCTTTTAAAAACTCCTTCCTTGGAAAATCTTTAAGAGGTGTAACTCATCATATAAAGCAGCAATGCTAACAGCAACTACATTATGACTTTGGCAGGGATGGTGAAGCCAGACCACAACCTGGCAGAGATGATTCCTTCCTCTCCCACAAACTATTCAGCTTTGAATTACCCTCATCAATAAAATACTGTGTTCTGCAACATCAAAAGGGGGTTATGCATTACCATGCCTACACACTACAGGAGACTGTAATACATGAACAAAAGTTTTGCTTTATAACTGATAATTCTCAACGGGACATCATTTTAAAAAATACCTGTATTATTTTTCTTTAAAGATCCTCTGAATGCTTTTCCAGAAAACCTCCACAAAACATCTGAAGATCTAAACTGTGACAATCACAGTGATTGCCCTATAATCCGATCCAATTACACATGCACATATATGATTTGTACAACAGACTGTTTTAGGACTGTTTATTTTTACTTCAGCTTTTTTCAGCCCTGATTAGTAGAATAATAAACTAATAACTACTAATGAAGAACTGCTGTGGTACTGGAACAAAATCTGAAGAAGGCTTTTTCAAAGCCTGTATGGGTGTTATGTAATTTAAGCAGTAAGTAACTCCTGAAAAATGTCCTTATCAGTAGATTTGTTCTGGATCCCTGCCTCACTAATAAACTGATTCATTAGTCAGTTGAAACTAAAACGTGAAGTGGAACTTTTTTGAGAATTATACAATTTGAGCTATTATAATATGCAAAATTCCAGCATGCCTTTAATACTTATTTAAAAGTAACAAGTACGTTTAAATATAATATATGTAGTATGACTCAGATCACACTGTGGAAAATAGTTTTAAGAGTAACATATTTCAAAGTGCTGTAATGCAAGCTGTCCTTTGGATCAATACTGCTCTTCTATTGCCTTTTTCATCTCACTGTTTACACATTTTTTCTCTCTACTGTGGCATGTCAAAAGCATCTACCACCCTTTTACGTGAAAGCATTAAGTTTCAGCATTTACATTTTTCCATCCAAGTGTATAGCTGTGCATTTCTGTGTATGAAGGTGTGCTAAACCAGTGGTCTCCACAGGGAAATGTATGCACCCCAGTGGGTGTGCAAATCCTTTCAGGTACAGTAAGAAAAATGTTTTGTACTGTTAATAAATTAAATAAAACTTGTGTGTATTTCATCTTTATCTCTCTTTTTTTTTTTTAATGTCTGTTTTTGTGCTTTGCAATGCACATAATATAGTAGTATACTTATACATATAATTTATAAATAAATATGCTCAGTGCATGCTCAGTGATCCAGGAAGTCCGGAGACCACTGTGCTGAACTACCTAAAACTGCAGTGCACAAGTAAGACAAATAGAAAACAGAATATAAACTAAAAAAATACAAGGAATTATGTTGACTTACATCTATACTTATCTTCCAGGTGTGCTTTACAAAGAGATACAACACCAGTTTTGAAAGATAAGACACGGATCCTTCCTGTTCGACCCCTAAAAGGAAAGAAATATTGGCTGATTATATAATCCATTCGTGTAACAACTTGTTGGCTTTTACAAAGTTTAACACAACACTACAGTCTTATTAAATGAAGTCACAAAAAAACCCAACTTTGCATGGTATACGCTGGCCTGCTAGCACATATGTTGGAAACTGAACATAAAATATAGAGGTGAAGTTCCACGGGCAAAGCTAAACCAAACTGTGCACTTTTACCAGTACAATCAGAAACTGTCTCATGCAGAAACAATAACAGATATTAACAGAGGCACTAAGTAACTTGCTGATTAATCTCGCCTAGAAACAAGGAGAATGGAGGCAGGTTGTAGTCAGTAACGTAACAGTGGTTTATAAGCTCCTTCTCCTATCACCCAAACCTGAGCAGGCTGAAGGCCCTGGTCACCTCAGTTCTTGGAGTGTCTCAACTTGGCCTTCCCTCACAATCACCTTCACACCAGTCTGTGATGTGCCTGTGCTACTGCTTTTGCTTTTTGATGGGAACACAACAAGATGTGTTCCCTCTATGCTGCAAGTAGTGCAGTGACAAACCTTCAGCCCTTTTCTCATAGATCCAGTTCAGCTCAATTTATTCCCCATTGCTGGCTTCAACTAAGACTTATCTCACATAACATTACAAATAAATAACACCTATTGCAAATGAAACATACACAACACAGTAAGCTAACACCTAGACTTGACTTTTGGAAGCACAGACTTGTCAACGATTTTGAAGTGCCACCAATAAGAACACCACTGAAAATACATTAAGTAATGGACAGGCACATCATACCCATGCACTAGGCTGTACTATTAGCCAGGATGCATGCCTTCTTTATAATCCTATTAATGCACTGCAAGAGTCAACAGCACTCATTTACCTACGCCTGCTCCCTGCAACACCTATAAAAGGTGCAGTCCAAAAATGGTGAAAAAGCAGAATTCAGAATGTGCAGCCTTTTTCTAAGTATCTTGTGCTTTTCACCATCAATAGGCATTTGCTGCTTACCTATGCTTTCCCCACTCTGCTCCTTTTACTCCTCTCCCTCAAAGCTTTTCCAAATTAATTATCATCCGTGCCCTGAGAAATTCCCGCTGATGAACACCAGGCTGATGCAAATTATATAGGAGAAGAATGTAGAATTATTATTTCCCTGCAAGGCATATTAAATTGGAACCTGCACGAACCGTGAGTTGTTCAGTTCACTCTACTCCCCCCCCCAAGTCAAAGCAGTAATTTAGCATGCTACTGCAAATGAGCATGAGTGACTGATCAATTAAAACAAATCTGAATACGTGCTGGCTTTGCAGAGCTGTGTCCATAATTAGATCAGTCATTGGCACTGAATTTGATTAGTATCTTTACAAATGACAGTTTTCAATTATAAGAAGAGTAAAAATTCAGTATATCGAATTAAATGTCTCCAGTGCTACTATGCACTTCAGTTGATCTCTTCCTATTAAGTTTACAATGAAAGCTAAACACAAGTAACCCCAAGGTCATCTCTCTACCAGCATAATTCAAACTTGAATTTCAGCAAAACAGCTAGGAGCTTTCCTCACACATAAAACAACTGTGTTTCATCGAGTCCTGCAATATACAATTCCCTAGCATACCTAGGGAATTGCCTGGAGGCAGCCAATTATAATTTCTAATGCTGTACTTTCAACAGAATGCTTCATAACGAAAGCTAGACTGGACACAGCAAATCTAAACTGGATGGTCCAGCTTAGGAGCAGCCTGGGAAATGACTTTCATTTCTCCCTCTGCCACCAGTGTGGCTGATCTGGATTAACATTCCTACTGTGTCTTTTTTGTTTTTCACCAGTTGGCTATCTCTCTATATATGTAATTTGTAGTAGATGATAACTCAACTGAACTGGAGTTCAGCAAAACCCAAAGCAGATTAAATAAATAAAGCTTAGCAGTTAAATGAACATAGCCCCACTCCTACCACTGGTACACTGCACAAAAATATAATGTAATCTGCGTAATCCACTTCACAGGATTCTGCAGTTGCTGCAGATGATGATACAAGCAACTGTCTTATCACAGATGATTCTGCAGGAAAAGACTGCATACTTCTTTTGTGTGCAGGTGATCACTGAAGTTTCAGGGCTGTGACAAAGGATGGATGGAAGAATAATGTTATGGAACTTTACTACAGTTCAAAATGGCAATGGAATACAGTAATTTTTTCACGTGCTTCCATTTCTACACATGAATTTTATTCTGCCAAAGTAATGGGCATGTCTGGCTGAAGGCAACTGGTAAGAACCTTAAAAAAACAAACACAAATAAAGACTTCCACTGACATCTTGTTTCACTAAATTCACTAAATACAAAAAGAATGGCTTATTCTAAAATTAGTTTGCAGAACATGCGTTGGTATTTATCTGAACAACATCACTAATCCATTGAATAGAACATCTTTAATTTGATTAAGGTAAATATTTATGGCTCTATTTACATATGCTCTATTTACACTTAAAGGTAGACTTTTTAAAATTTAATTTTACATGAAGCATTTCTCATATCTCCTGGCTGCTAAGGGCTGTAAATGCTTAAGATTACAGATGAAGCTCTTCCAGCTTTGACCAAGGATTATAGATTGAAAGCTACAGAATACTGACAGCTCTGAAAATGTTTAGCATCCAGAAGTACAGACACAAGCAAGAGTCTATACGATGTTAATCATACTGTTGCTTCTTGATACTTCTCTTGAATTGCTTTATCTGAAGAAATTTTAAAAAGCCATGCAAAGCCATGACCAACAGGGGAGATCCTAGAATTGCTCTGAACACAGTAGTCTGTTCTGTTTTCCAGCTCTCATTGTTTAGATGAATAAATCTAATGTTGCAGGCCTAATCAAGGGCTAAATCGATTGAGCTAAATGCAGCCATTAAAGCCATCGCTTTCACTTCAACTGCTATTTCTTTAGCTTCAAGCCATTCATATGTTATAATGTGTGACAGCCAGCTCATGCCCTTTCCCCTTTCCCCTCGTGATGCTGGGAAAGCTTTTCAGAGCACTCTGTTTACAGCACCCGTACGTACGTGTCATAGACATTCAGCAGCCAGTTGAGGCACATGTCCACGCAGAGAGGAACATTGACCAGATTATTGTGCTCCTGTTCCAGTCGATCATAAATAGTGGTCAAGCAGTTAATGATCTGCAGAATATCCATCGGCTGGTCATTTTGCTTGAGGTTGTGCTGGTCCAAGGCATCGCATGCAGCAGACAGATTCAGGAGATCCACTGCAAAAATAAAGAAACACAATGAAGACTGCAGAGAGACAGTGGTTGTACTACCAGTATCCAAAAAGTAGTTATAGATACAACAGTTTGCTTGGCTTACATGTCTGGTCAGAGGACATTTTATATTCTGTGGAAGTCAGGTGTAAGACTGGTTCCAAGACTCCCACAGGTGCACTGTTTATTCAGCTGTGGTCTTAGACAGCAGTGTTTATAAAATGTTTTGGGTTTTTTTAGCCATGAAGTACCCATTACACTATTAGATTGTATGGGAATATTACATAAACTACTGCGTAAATAAAAATTCTATGTTTCATGTTTTATATTCCTACAGATAAGGTACTATTTGACAACTGTGTTCACTGGATGTGCTGTACACACAGTGCTCATCCTCAGCTTTTGTGAAATGCACTACTCAAGTCAAGAAATCTTCAATGAACCAAATTCCACCAGGAACATGCAAAAAAAATCACAATGGAAGGGGGGTCAACTTCCCTGCTACTTTTTCTCTTGCAAGAACATGGGAAAAAAGATTCCAAAATTTATTAATAGAATTCATAAATCTTTAATTCTGATGAGTGTTTAAATTTGTAAGTACCTTTATGACATAATGCAGTAAGGCAAATTTAATACCTATCAGTCAACACAAAACAGTTTTTCTGCTACTGACATTTAAAATCTTGATTTCCATTTCAGTTTAAGTCAGCTGTATTTTGAAATTTGGATGTCCACAGCAAAACAGAACATCAGCTCTTAAAAATATTCTTAATTTCTGAATAATAACAATTTCATACTTTGGAGGACACCAAATCAGAGAGTTATGAGATGCTGAAAACAAAAGTAATCAGAAAAATGAGACTATCTGGGGCAGCAGATCTTCCTGCTGTGACATGAAAACCCTCTGTAAATCCTTGCATAGAACTTCTAGGGGTTGAGCAAAGGGGGAATGAAAGCCCAGATGTTGCTAGCCCTACGCATACCACGAGTAGTCACAAAGTGCAGCACAATTCAGTGCACCTCAGGAAAACCATCCTGAAAATTTGTTACAGAATTGGGAAGTAAACTGACCCAATTGCAAGACCTCTTTTTCTCTCACTGCAATAAAACTGTGTTTTATTGAGTCTTGGTAGGCAAAATGCAGAACCTCATAAGGAATCCTTTTTTAGAACTTCATGCAGCTTAAGGGCACATGTGCCAAATTCACACTTGAGAATGCTAGAACAATACCAAAGATTAAACTGGCGCCTTGAAAAATACTTCAGCTGCGTGCAGGGCTGCTTGGTTACATTGCATTGACAGTATGCTGTGATTCTGGAACTGCCAAAAGAATTTTGGGAGCAGAAATTTCACTGAAAATCAATAGGAATATCTACTGCTAAATCCTGCAAGTGCTTCTGAAAATTTCATCCTGGTGCCTGAGGTACTCAGTGCTAGAGTGAATATGGAAAGCCCACAACGCTACCCCTAGTACTGTACCAAGAGATTTAACTTAGAATATGTTGTTTTACGCACAGGGCATCATTACAGTTTTTGGTTTTTCATATTAGCATATGGATAGTTACTAAAAAAAAATGTGGAATATTTTATTTAACCTACTAGCATATAAAATATACCTATTCTGAGGTCAGTGCTATACCCTGCAAAAGCATATTTATCAGATCCATCGCAAAGAGTCATAGCTAGATACCTTTCCTCTAGCAGTTTATTAGCTGAACTGAAAATAGAGCAATGCTTTCACAATACCTTTAATGCAGAGCTCTAGGCTGAACTCTCAGTTCCTTTGAGACTGTGAATCAATGGTAATTAAATGAACCCCTCAGGCATCTGGGTGGCAGCTTAATTATACATCAGCTACTGCTAAACATGGGTCATTCCATTTTGCAAAAGCTTTTCCTGCTAATAAGCAGAAACTTCTGAAAAGCCCTCTGCCCTGCCTCTTCCTCAGCCGCCCATCCTATCAGGAATTTAATAATGCATGTCCATCTTAACATAAGCAAGAAATGTTTGCTACCAAGCTCCACTTTAGGGGACTTCTTTTCAGGGGAAGAGTGGCTCCCGCCTTCACCAAGGTGAATTCCTCCTGTCTCTTCCTCACCACGTTTAAAGGAATGTGTTGGAGGCCTCTCCAGAATCAGTAATTGGTGTATTTCTTTTCTGGGAGCAAGCACCAAGTAAACACTGAATGGGGGCTAGCCCAAACACATATCGAAGAGCTGCATATTCATGGACATCCAGTGATTTACAAATCTTTGATCACTTCATGTTTTGTAAACTTAACGGGTCATCACTCTTCCATTTAAAATTCTGAAACTGACTGCAAAATTTGAGTGAACTGTAGCTTATTTGAACTGTAGCAAAATTTGAGTGAACTTCTAGCTTATTTTGAATTCCAAGTAATGTATATAAATATTTCTTTGGCCTTAAAGGCAAGAGTAAGTATGTCTACAGCTAGGTCAGCTTGTGGCTAGAATACAGAAAAAGGATAAAATAAGACCTTGAATAACCAACCAGCTGAAGGCCAGAAGACACAATTTAACAGGCAGGATAAGGTGTGCTACGGAGTTCAGCAAAACTCAACATACAGCTAGTGATAAGAAAGCATTAATGATGCTCTCAAAATTCAAGATCATCTCCTTGTAATCTGATGCTGTTGGCTGATACATTAAATATATATTATTTAATGTAGCCTGTATAAAATTAGAAGAAAAAAAAAAAAACTAACAGAAGATGTTGAATATTTTCTTTCACTGCATCTCCAAGAAACTTTTGTGGACACATCACATTTTATTGACTTCACAATGTTTAGATGTGGTTTGCACTTAAAGATCAGATCTTTAAAAGTAGCAAAGCAAGAAAGTCAATGTGCTTTGATGTGATTATCAAAGGAAACTGTACATTAAAAAAAAAACCCAACAAACGGTGCAATAGTTAACTTGGCATGCCCACAATAACTTTGAAGGCTGGAAAGATAGAATCTCACACTCACCTAAAGTTACATTCTCCTAAAGTAACACAGTACACAAGCATTTATTTGTTAAGGATTACCTTTTCCTATTATTATCCTTAACATCCTAGTATCTTAAAGTTCATAGGGCCGATTTACAAACTGAAGTTATTTTTGAACACAAATCTAAATACAGTCTAAATCTACAATCTGAATCTAAATTCATGTTTAAAAGCGTTTGTACTCTTGTAACTTAGAAATACAGGCTGCTTTTTCACTCCTATGGATTTTTCTTGTACTCACACCTTCAGAGTTTGAAAATACCCCTCAGAAGATAACACTGCTGTGCTTTTTATGCAGTTTGCAGAAAAGAATATATGTACGTAGACAGTTTTCAAACTCCTGCAATTTTAAAGCTGAAATAAAAAGTGGGAGCTTAGAGAAGCAACTACTGCAGGTAGAAATCAGGCATTTGGGGCTACGTGTAGGAGTCCTGAAACCCAACACTGTGCTCTATTTCTTCTGGTGCCAAATTGCAGAAAAAGAATTTTGTAATTAGCTTTTTTTAATCTAATCAAAAGGGGCTCACAAGTGACACTGCAAGCACAGAATACACAAACACGAGAATAGTGTCTCCAAGCAAAAATATTTGCAAGAACAAAGACTGTTAACCAAATTCCTTAAATACTTCTCCTTAGTTACAAGAGTGAAGAATGTGCTAAAGTATTCAGTGTAAGCGCCACTGCGTGTTTCCAATAACATCCATTCTCAGAAAACCTACCTAAGTGTAACCTGGAAAGACAAATTGATTTCAGTGTGTAATTTACAGTTCCTCACTGTAAAGCCCAAGATGAGCAGAGAACAGTGGTAGAATAAAACTAATTACAGATAAAACAGGATGCAAAGTTTTGCACTTTCAACCTGCCTGCTACGCTTGTGCACTGACAGCTAGAGAAACCCATAATTCAAGAATTTTCTTCGTTACTTCAGTGCTGCACTCATTATGAATACTTTCCACTGCATATTATTCCCATTTTTTTATGCCAGCTCCCCACGATTGTCATTAAAATATGTTTGGAATTCTGATTGTCTACTATCAAAATTCAATCTTTGTCACAGTATCCATGCTGAAATCTTCAATTACTTTACAAGAATTTTCACTGCTTAATTTTGTGTTTAAAAAAAAAAAAACTTTTTTTTTTTTTTTTTTTTTTTTAAATAAATCTAGAGATTGCTCATTAGTGGAATTCACCCATCCTTAAAAGTCTAAAAGTATACATGCTCAATAACCTCGAGGTTTGACTCAGTTCCAGAAAGCATGTGAGCACAAATCCAAACTTGAGATAAATCAGCAGTTGAGACATTTGCAACTGTGTCAGAAATTTAACCCTGTAATTAAATGCGAAACGTAGTCAACGTTAAAATATTTTAGTAACTCTCCAAACTGTACTCCCTAGAAAACTCTTTGCTTTTGTAACTGATTGGTCTATCAAGAAAACTATGAGCAAATTATTTAGCCATTGGATTACAAGAAGCTGAAGCAGAAATGTAACTGAAGTGACAGGCAGTAAATGATATACCAGTTGCGAGAACTACAATGTCAGGTCATGCATGCATGTCATTGTGGCAGGACTGACTAGAGAGTTCTGAACACAGCCAAAAGCTGGGTCGAAATGAAGCTAAATGCTTATTGTGATGATCTCACTGAAAGGCAGCAATCCCCCAGGGTTCAGAATTCAACCTAACAGACTATTAACAGTTCCTGCTCTGGCACAGTTTTTCCTCTGGACACTCATCGTTCTTATTACAGAACAATTCTGATTGTATGTTGAGCTGCATGTGGCTGACATGGGATGTGCCTCTGGTAATGAGCAAAGAGAAAATATCTTAAGATATGAAGAGTGAAAAGGCTTGAGAGTGAAAAGATGAGGAGTACGTAGGGAATGTTCATTTTTTTCCTGATCAACTGTTTTGTCTCATAAGTGTCTCGTACTTTCAGCTTGCTAGGAAGGTGCAAAGTAACGGCATCAGGAAATGCCTCAGGCGAGAAGTTTCCATACACTGGGGAGCGCTTAGGAGGAGTGGAGGAAGTGTTTTTCTACTTCTAGAAGTTGTGAATAAACTCATGGCTTGGTACTGAAGTCTTCCTGGCATTTGAGGCCACAAAGGCAGGTACTTACAGCAGAGAGCTTTCTGCAGCCTGCGGAGCTTCATGGCAGTTCTGTATGCTGAGAACCTGACATTGTTCAGGTCCGCTGTTGGGGAAGAATATCAGAAAAAGAGGTTAGCTTTGTATCTTAGAAATAAGCAGACTCATAATGACGTTGTCCACCCGAACTCAAACATTACAATCAGTGGTTCAAATAACTGGGCAAAAAATGCTATGTTAGAAACCATATTTCACTGAACAAACACACTAAAACCTTGACAATCAATCTTTCAAAAGAAAATCAGCAAGTCCTAGAGGCTTACTTCCATTCTTTCAAAGGTGCTGAACTTAAGAGTACTTGAAAGGACACAACCAGCAACTGCAGCAGGGTTGTCTGAAAAACACCACAGCCTTTTTAGTGTAGGTACTTTAAGAGATAAGGCTCCAGATCTCCTGCCTCCTTCCCTGTCTGAGGCACATGGCCAGATTGTTTGCAGGCAGCCAGAAGCAAAGAGCCCTGCACAGAAAAATGCAGGCAACTCTCAGCTATGGCTGAGACTATAAAAAAAACAGTGAAACGTTTGTGCTTCCCAACCTAAACTGACACCAGCATGTCCTGAGAGGAACACTGCTCCCAGCAGGGAGCCAGCAGCAAGGTAAACTTCTATGACCCCCTTGGAAACTGCAGAGAGCAGGTTGAAGAACACAAGCGACCTAGGTCCAGTTTCATTGCAACCTCCTCACGTGGCTCGCAAAACCACATCATCAGCAAGAGCCCTTGCTTCAAAAGGAGCTTTGTGCCCACGGGTTCCCAGGACACTGCAGAGAGAAGGCAGCCATGTACTCAACCAGCAGTATGCTGAGCAGATAAATCTCCTGGCACAGGGCAGGCTTGGTCAAGGCTACGTGAACATTGCTTAATACTTGCCCCCAGCAAGATACAGCAACCACTCAGCAGCCTAAGAAGTAAATGCTAGACAAGACTGAAAAGGAGGGATTTTAAACAGAATGTGTCTTGGACCTAATCCGACCAGGAAAGTGAATTTGCATCTTTCTCTTCCATCTGCCTGTGGAACCAGACTGATGATGTGTGTACTCTGATCTAGTCCCCGGCTTCTGCTGAAAGCAGCTTTAAATGGGTAAACCCATTTAAAACAAGAACAAAATAAATTTACTAAGAGTGAGGTCAGAGCTAGCACAGCTGCATTCCTGCCAGTGCCACAGCCAGCTCAGTTACAAGTAAGCCCGGCACACCAGAACCATGCTGCAGGTAGGCCACTGCTTGCACAATTCAGAAGCAAGCCCAAGGTGCGGAAACAAGTGCCCCACTCCAGCAAAAGGCTTTTGTTCAGGAGAACAGATCAACAGATACTTAAAGCAAATACAGCTGCAAGCTGGTAACTTCACTCAAGGCAGTCAAGAGCACCCCCAGGTTTAGCAGCCCCCTGCACAGCCACTCAGCCCACGAGCACTCCAGGCTGCTCCCAGTGCAACCATCGTGACACTTAACAGCCTATGCAAGCTAACATGGGCCCTGTGTGCTGACAGGTTTCAGCACCCAGCAACGCTGCTGAATGGGTTTAGTTTACAACTGCTGATGAAACCTGTGGGCCTACGGAGTTAATGATTAGGCAGCATTTTGAAAATGTAAACTCCTCTACAAATACAAAAAGAACACAAAAAGCAATGACGCTGGCTCAGAACAGAGGTCCACTTGGCCTAATCACTAAGATATCTCCAAGCCTTGCAGGGTCTTTGAGAGAGAATATTACAAAAAGCAGAGCAAATACAAGAATGGCACTGAGGTGCTGTAAAGGTGTTTGCAATTGGGTAGTTTGGGTATAACTATCCCAGCATCGTTTACAATGCTGCGCAGGTATAGGCAGCAAAGGGAATATAGTCTCAATTACACAAATTTTAATTAAGCTATTCCAAATGAGTAATTTGAAGTCTGATAATTCAGTAATATTTAATACCTTAATAAAGGCTGGGAAGTGCTTCTAAAACACGCCTTATAGTAGAAGGGGAACTTTCAGCTTTGTGCAGCATTTCTTTTTCTTTGCACAGTTCCATACACCTTTTTAATGGGCAGTTCTCCTGGGCACTGTTCCTGCCAGCTCGCCCTCTCACAATTACCCTGACAGGTCCAGAAGCCTTAATGTGTGGAATAAAGCATGCAATTAAAATAAAGCAACTTAATTTGTCTTTAAGGGAAATTAATAAAGCAGTCCCTTGCAAACACACTGTGCCTTCAGTTACATTTTGTACTCTTGTTGTAACTCTACACTTGCATTCTGGAAAAGAAATAAAAACTGTAGCAATTTCATTTTGTTAAAAGTAAGACTAGTCAAAAATAGTTGGATTGGAAGCTCATACATACTAGATTATGGCAAAATGAACAAATCTTCCCTAAATTTTAATTGCGTATTCTGAAAAACCTCCTATGCTTATTACTTACATTTTTTGAAGTATTAGCAAATACAAACATACCTTGCAGACCTTAATCAAGGCAGAAGGTGCTATCCATGAGGACATTTAATCTTCAAAATGCTGTAGTTTGCATACATTTTTTCGTATATTTAACACACTCTGAATTTCTTATCGACCATAATGACACTTCTGCCAAGAAGTATCTGCTGTAAATGACCAAGAAGCAATAGCAAGGGCTATTTTCATAGGCCTCATGGCAGGGTCTAGGAAACCAGTAGCAATGTCATCACTTAGTTTTAAATGCTGAGGCCATGTAGCTGCAGGGTGCTTCTGCTCACACCTTCTCTTACCAGCATTAATCTATGCCCAGTTTTTGTTCTGATGTCAACTGTCCACTTTCTGTCCTTGTTAGCCACAACCACCTGGATGGCTCTCTGATCACGTGCGGACAGCCTTTTGCTACAACACTGCCACACCATATCACATCTTTGCCTTGAATTTTAGCACTTTCATTTAAAATCTGGGAGTCCTTTAAATGCCTTCTCTGACCTCACTCTCAACCCAGTTGTGTTTGTACCTTTCATCTGCCCCTTATTCCACTTCAACAACAAATATTACATTATAACTATGTTAAATTAAAAAAAAAAAAAAAAAAAGGCCAATAATAAGTGGTTTTATGGCTCATGAAAGACAACAGCATTTTATAACTATAAGACAAGAATTTGAATTCTGACTTCAAATGAAGGAAGACTGATCATTGGAGAGGGCAATACAGTGAATGGTCACAGAATCACAGCATGGCTGGGGTTGGAAGGGACCTCTGGAGGTCACCTGGTCCAATCCTTGCTTCAGTATGGCCATCCAAAGCAGGCTGCCCAGCAACACATTCAGGTGGTTTCTGCAGATCTCCAAGGAGGAGACTGCACAACATCTCTGGGCAGCCTGTGCTGGTGCTCCATCACCTACCTGTACAGCACAGAAATACTTCCTGATGTTCAGATGGAGTCTCTTGTCCTGGCAGTGGACACCACCAAAGAGAGCTTTTTTTGTCTTTATTGCTCCGTCCCTTCAGCTATTTACTCACATTCCTAATATCACTCCTGAGCCTCCTGCAGGCTGAACAGTCCCAGCTCATTAAAGCTCTCCTCACAGGAGAGGTGCTCCAGTCCCTTCATCATCTTGGTGATCAATCAAGGCAGAGGTGGCTAGTCCTGATAGTGAGGAGGGGCCAGCATCTAACAATGAACCTCAAGAAGTTCAATAGGGCTAAGTCCAGTGTCTTGTTCCCAAGTCAGGGCAATCCCAAGTGCAAACAGACTGGTTGGAGAACAAACTGACAGCTTCCCTGAGGAGAAGAACTTGGGAATACTAGTTCATGATGAGGTTTGTGGAGCAGTGGAACAGGTTACAAAGAAGAACCTGTGGATGCCCATTGTTGAAGTGCTGAAGGCCAGTTAGGATGGGGTTTTAGGCAGGCTGAACTAGTGGAAGGTATCCCTGCCCAGAGCAGGAGATTGGAATTAGATGGTTTTTAAGACCCTTTCCAATCTAAGTCAATACGTCACTCTGTGATTCTTTGCTTAAGGAACTCCGTATGTACCTTGCTCTGAACGCCCTTATTTTGATACCTTTCTCCTTTGTCTCCTGAACTTTATAATTAGCTTTTTTTAAAAATTGTATTCCTATGAAACTGCTGGTAGTACTTTTTCTACACCCAAGCTACTGCTGGGAAGAATGCACTGCTTCACAGAACAGAGAAGGGAAGCCCGGCTCTCCTCTAATCAGGATCAATATGCTTTTCTTGCTGGTGTATGACTCCAGTTAAATGAAATGTACAACATAAGACTGCCAAGCAATGAGGCTTGGTAGCTCTGCTTGCTATCGTTAGTCGTAACGTCACCATTAACAGCAGTGAAGGAAACCTAGAGTAAGGCAGCATAAGGCACTGCTTGGCTGCCAGCCAGATATAACTGCTGGGAACGTGTGGAGGAGGGAGGAATGAGGCACAAGCAGCAGCAATCTTCCAAGGTTTTATAAAAACATTAGCAGCTCATCCTTTCCTGTGTTTTTTTCCTTCTTGAGTCCCGAGGGAAAAAAAAATTGGATGCTTTCCACTCCCAAACAGACTAGCAAAAAGTTAGGAGCCACTAAGTGTTGAATCCACCAATCTTTTGCCACCTCCGAGCAGGTAGAATAGCTAATTATACCAAATATGCTTTTTTCCAGCCTTTCCTCCAAAACCTAGGGAATGTGCACAGTCTCATATTCCAAATGAGGTGATCAGAGGTCCAAAAAGCCTTGGGAGAACACGAGACCTTTGCAGGTTTTTTACAATACTGCAACTCCAGTCCTAGTGCTCACTGCTTGAAAGGTAACTTTCACGCATCAAAAAAACGTAGATGCTCAAGAGCATAATGTGCTTTTGCATTCCGAAATAATCACATAGTGGAAAAGGTCACCTGCCCCCTAGAAACAAACAGACCAAGGAAAAGGTCGCACTGCAGTATTTGGTGACACTAGTACTTATGCCCAGGAGGGATGAGGAAGAGTGGCTCTCCACCACTCAGCCGTGAATGAACTCTCTGTTCAAGGGAGTATATAAATGCTTATGGGGGAGAAGACAGAGGGTTATGCTACAGAAGACCTGTAAGACAAGGCAGATGCTGAGGCTTTAGC